ATGCACATAAGATCAAAGATACCAATAATAATTTATCAATAAAAAAAGGAATAAGTAACAAAGAATTTGACCAACAGAAAATATAAATTTCTTTTGTTTAAAGTGCACAAGTTTAATGAATTCGCATGTGTAATTTCAAACCTAGTTTACTCTGAAAATCTTTACTGCACATAGTGCAGTGGTAGACTGGTCTACTATTCATGCCATGAATTGCCGTGTGAATGTGCAAATCGCTCTTTTGTACGTAACTTTTCCCGCATACTGGACAACTGTGAGGCTTCTCACCGGTATGAGTCATCATATGCCTTTTCATGTTACCGGACACAATGAAACTTTTTCCGCATCTCGGACAATTGTACGGTTTTTCACCGGTATGAATCATCATATGTTTTTTCATACTTTGGGAGTGAGTGAAATTCTGTTTGCATATCGAACAACTGTACGGTTTTTCACCGGTATGAATCATCATATGTTTTTTCATACTTTGGGAGTGAGTGAAATTCTGTTTGCATATCGAACAACAGTACGGCTTTTCACCGGTATGAGTCATCATATGTTTCTTCATATTCGAGTAATCATTGAAAATCTTTTTGCATGTCGAACAACTGTACGGCTTTTCACCGGTATGAGTCATCATATGTCCTTTCACATGCGCAGAGAGGCTAAAATTCTTTTTGCATATTGAACAACAGTACGGCTTCTCACCGGTATGAGTCATCATATGTTTTTTCATACTTTGGGATTGAGTGAAGTTCTGTTTGCATATCGGACAACAGTACGGCTTTTCACCGGTATGAGTCATCATATGTCCTTTCACATGCGAAGAGCGACTAAAATTCTTTTTGCATATTGAACAACAGTACGGCATCTCACCGGTATGAGTCATCATATGTTCTTTTATTTTTGCCACTTCCTTTCGACATATGTCACAACGCTGCTTTTTTATCTTCCTTTTTTCTTGCCTTGATAGCTCGATTACTTCCACCGGTGTTTCGATTGGAACGAATTGTCGCCGAAGTTTAATTCGTTCATCACTCACTCCCTCCACTGATAAGCCTTGCGGCTTATTTCCTTCCTGTTTCACTTTTGGAACCGGTGAATTTAGGGGTTTAATTTGAAGCATTTGCAAACCAACCTCTCCTTCATCTTTTCTTTCCACTGATAAGCCTTGTCCATCCCCATCATCTCTCACTTTTGATATTGATAAATCCAACGGTTCTGTTTGGTCCGTTTGCGCTGCCTCAAATGATATGAAATTGCACTGTGTAAAATTTAAAAACTTCAAGGTATTGCAGCGTTGTTGTATTTCTCAAACTTTAAGTGGACTTACAGTGGTTTGAATAGTGATCAACTGGAAGAAGAAGCAGAAGAAATAGATGAAATGCATGTCAATGAGAATAATTTGTTGCCAATTCTGAAAAAACATTCAAATTTACTGGACGGTGCTCACCGCTGCTGTTTGACAAATGCGCAAAGTTTCTAAATATAATGGATTATTTACAAATTAATCATTGAGTTCCGAAATCTTTCTCATAACTCGAAACTTCCGAAAAAGATAACATCCTCTGTCGAAATAAATGAAATAATAAATAAAAACTTACTGAATGAAATTTGTTGAAGATTATTGGAGAATTGTATATATAAATGCTCATTCAGATGGGAGTGGCAAACTACGTATATTGATGAACTTATGTCCACGTATAATAATATAAGTAATAATAGAATTTATATTAGTATAATAAAAACAGTCAGTGTTTAATCCTTTGCATTGAATTGTTTCATTTTAGTTGCTATATTACATTGTTGGAAATAATTTATGCAAAGCAGTTGCAACGTTTTTTGCACAATTTTATTTCGTTTCGATTCAATTTTTATAAATTTTCAAATCTTTGCAATATTGGTTAGAAGGGAAAATACATAATTACATTGCTTGCAATTGATATAGATAATTTGCGCATGCTAAATGACTTCATCTAATATTTCGTTTGAACGACGTCTGTAAATTTTCAGATTTGCTTTGTTTTAAATTTCAAATTTTTTAAAAAAAATTTTTATTTCCAAAAAATCGGAAAATTTGAGCGAAGTGAAACAAGATATATTTATAGTTTAACTGGTCATATTGATATTAAATTTTGTTAATCGGTTCTTTGCGATAAATTGAAAAACCTTTCGCAGCTGTAACAATACAAAAAAAACATTCATAATATTTTCCTTGTCAGTCTGAAATCTCAGAAGGCTGCTACGCAAGTAATTTAATAAAGCAGAAGTTTTAAGATTGGCCATTTCTTCCTTAAATTTTTTTTTCAGACAGGTTCAATGTTTCGTTCTACATTTTGTATTTATTTGATTTATTTATATTTTGTATTTATTAGATTTATATCTACATATTTATTAGTTTTTTTTATATAGAAGGTTAGTTTGATTGAAATAGATTAAAATTATTGGCATTGATCAAAAGTTACATGAAATAATGGCTATGTAACTGCAATGAAGAAAATAAAAGAAATGAATGCGATGTACTGATATCAAATGATTGATTTCTGATCCCTTCTGCGGGTACTCATATATGAAATGAATGAAGTAATCTATTTAATTTCCTCGTAATTTATAATGATCTAGTGATCACTGAACTGATTAGCAATCATTGTTCATCACAACAGTCAAAGCCATCATGAAAAATCGGTCAAGAACAGAACGTAATAACTGAAGCTGTTGAAAAAATAGTGGACAATTGGACAATTGACCACAGTATTATTTTTTTTGCAGTATTTTTTAATTTAGCAAGCAAATCAATTTTGCATGTAAACGGTAATGAGCTGTGCAACAGAAGATACACCTGTAATTTTGAGCATGTATGGATACAAAAGAAAAAAAATTTCTTAATATTGATATTACCAAATACTTTAATTGATAATAATGTTTAAAAATTCGAGCAATTCATTCATTTACTTGCTATTATTATTATTATTATTATTATTATTATTATTATTATTATTATTATTATTATTATTATTATTACTATTATCAGTAATCTATTTACTGCTTTTTTAATTAAGACTAACAAAATTTCTTACTTACGCTTTTAAAAATTTATGAATTGCCAAAGCCTCAGAAAGCTGACAAACCCAAGGCAAGGTATGTCAGTTTTGTTTTTCCCATTCACTTCATTATATCATTTATACTCCATTTACATAAGTTCAACTTGGCTTATTTACTGTGAGAAAAGATTTTTGTATCTCTTGCTTTATATCATAATCAATCACTAAATAAAAAAAAAGAGCCATTGCAATTAATTGATATTACTCATAAATAGAAATTAAATGCAAAGTAAACAATGAAAATAACAGCAATAGCTCTTTTTCAAAATTTTAAGTTTTCACACACTGAACTATAGCTATAGGTGGAAATACCTTTGAAGAAGGCAACATAATTCAGAATATTCCACAGTTTCACTGCTTCAGAGAAGATACGACAACTCAATTGAAGCATGTAAATATCAAACACACATGGAAAGCTATAAGAAACCCATTTGCCCCAGCCATTTGCTTGCAGAAAGCAGAATGAGAATTTACTGCAATATAAAAGGTATAGAACTGAGAGAAGAGCGGTACTTAACACATTAGAAGGGAAGTGAATTGTTCACAGGGAGCTATTACCCAGTTTGCATCTCAAACGATAATATTAAAATGTTCGCGAATAGCACTAATAGTCAAATCCTCGCCGTGCTCGAACACTTCTTGAGACTATGCATGAATGCCTTAATGCGATCGTACATGAAGTTTTCGTGAGATGAAAGAATAAGTGCGCTCCTTTTGCCTGTTGGAAGAAGGGCGGTACTTGACATACGCATGAGAGGAAGTATGCTCGACTTGTAAGGGATGAAACTAATATCCAGTTTGCGCCTCGAGCTTTAATATAAAGAGACGCTCTAAATGTACGTGCAGTTTTAGTGAAATGAAAGGATAATTGCACTCTGTTTCAGTCGCAATTATTTAATCTTCCTGATCATTATTTAACCTTCCTGATCATTATTTAATCTTCCTGATCATTATTTAACCTTCCTGATCATTATTTAATCTTCCTGATCATTATTTAACCTTCCTGATCATTATTTAACCTTCCTGATCATTATTTAACCTTCCTGATCGCATCATTATTAGAATTTCACTTCTTCTGTTTTGATCATTTTCTGTTTCATCAGTGCTATTCGATATTCGATATGTGGCGCAATACTCCCAGATGACAAATGCCATCCATGCTTTTTCATATAAATCTTCAAATCCATTGTTCATTCGATAATTTTATTGATTGCAGTCACTTAACAACAGAAATTTCAGAGCTTATTTCTGTTTAACTTACGTGCTTTAATGATTCTGCATATGTGATTTCAAGTCGGGTTTAATCCAAAAATCTTTATTGCATACAGTGAAGTGGTAGGCAGGTCTACTCATTTCATGATGGGAAGTTAGCTAATGCTGTCATTCATTGATGGATTTACTGTTGAGTTAGATTGTCAAATGTTTTGAGTGAATGGAATTTTGAATGCAAATAGAACAACTGAAACAAAATTCCAAATGTGAATCGACAAATGAAATGAATGAATTTCGTTGTTATATGACCTTATGAAATTCATGTTATTTATGCAATAATCGAGTGAACAATTTCATTTCATTAGTAGTTTAACAACAGCGATATTAATTTGCAAATTCTTTATGCATAGTATTCAGTAGCATGCAAGAAGTTACTGGCTCGTTGTGTAGGCATCGCTAGGCAATTTATAACAAAACAAATAAAAAAGTGTGAAGAATATAACACATAACAGTGAGAGAGTGTTATTTTAAAAACAAATGACAGAAGAACTGACTGATGGAAAACATAAATAATCAATAACAACGGAAATAGCAATGCAATGTATTTCTTCAAATTTAAAGTAAAAAGTAAAGCGTAAGCTTCAGTGAATCCGCATATGCAATTTCAAGCTCTGTTTAATTCAAAAATCTTTACTGAATACAATGCATAGGTTTGTTTATGACATGAGTTACCATGTGAGACTGCAAACTGTGTTTTCGGGTGTAACTTTTTCCGCATTTCGAACAACTGTACGGCTTCTCACCGGTATGAATCATCATATGTTTTTTCATACTTTGGGAGTGAGTGAAATTCTGTTTGCATATCGAACAACTGTACGGTTTTTCACCGGTATGAATCATCATATGTTTTTTCATACTTTGGGACTGACTGAAATTCTGTTTGCATATCGAACAACAGTACGGCTTTTCACCGGTATGAGTCATCATATGTTTCTTCATATTCGAGTAATCATTGAAAATTTTTTTGCATGTCGAACAACTGTACGGCTTTTCACCGGTATGAGTCATCATATGTCTTTTCACATGCGAAGAGCGACTAAAATTCTTTTTGCATATTGAACAACTGTACGGCTTCTCACCGGTATGAGTCATCATATGTTCTTTTATTTTTGCCACTTCCTTTCGACATATGTCACAACGCTGCTTTTTTATCGTCCTTTTTTCTTGCCTTGATAGCTCGATCACTTCCACCGGTGTTTCGATTGGAACGAATTGTCGCCGAAGTTTAATTCGTTCATCACTCACTCCCTCCACTGATAAGCCTTGCGACTTATTTCCTTCCTGTTTCACTTTTGGAACCGGTGAATTTAGGGGTTTTATTTGAAGCATTTGCAAACCAACCTCTCCTTCATCTTTTCTTTCCACTGATAAGCCTTGTGATCCATCCCCATCATCTCTCACTTTTGATATTGATAAATCCAACGGTTCTGTCTGATCCGTTTGCGCTGTCTCAAATCATATGAAATTAAATCACACTATGCAAGATTACAAGTCTTCAAGATATTGAACGATATGTTATATTTTGTTAACTTTAAGTGGACTTACGGTAGTTTGAACATTGCTCAATTGGAAGACGAAAAACAAATAGATGAAATACATGTCCATGAAAATAATTTCTTGTAAATTCTGAAAAGCATTCAAATGCTCATTGATTAATGAACAAAGGATTTCTCCAAGAAATGTTTTTTTTTTTTTTAATTATATTAGACTATTTGCAAATTTATCATCAATTCCGAAAATCTTCCTTATAATTCAAAAATTTGAAAAGAGGTTACATCCTCTTTCGAAATAAATAAAGCAAAACTTACTGAATGAAATTTGTAGAAGGAAGTCTGACAGAGATCAGCCGATCAATTCTGTTAATTATGGTTGGAGAATTGTATGTATAAATGCTTATTCAAATGGGAGTGGCAAACTACGTGTACTGATAATATAGAATATAAAATATTTGCGCATAATAATACGAAATAGCAATCATTGTTTAATCCTTTATATCAAATTATTTCATTTCAAATGCTACATTGCATTGTTGAAAATAATTTTATGCAAAGCAGTTGTGACATTTTTTGTAATTTTATTTCATTTCGCTTCGATTTTTTCATGCATCCAAGTCTTTTGGATTATTAACGAAAGGAGAAAATTACATTGCTGCATCTCTTATAATTGATAATATTGATTTATAAATGATAAATGATTTCACCAGATCTTTCGTTTGGATTTTAAATTTTCAAATTTTCTTTGTATCAATAATCATATCTAATATGATTTGCTGAAGTTAGCTGTCAAATGAGTACCAATTGATAATTCCTAATACTTATGAACCTTTTAAATGCCAATCATAATGAAACTGAAAAGGAAAAAAAGACGGTAGTAAAGTTCTATCAATTACTGCATTGTGTCTGATTAGCATCTCTTGAAATGCTGAACCGGAAGTTATCAGTTCGCCATCCATGGTTATGTAGCTAATAGAGATGCCTAATGGCTCCAAGCAACAAGCTCGGACTGGAACTATCTGCAATTCCACACCGTTAAATTTAAGGGCAGGCTTCAATTTGTTCTTATAAACAAGAATCTAATTTGTACATGTTTGCATAAGTCCTCGTGGCTTTCTTTAATTGAATTTTAAACAGATTCAAATAACAGGCAAAAAAGAATAAGTCAAATGTGAACAGTAGTTTATTCCAAGTATCAGCCGTGATTTAACATTGTTCCAATCTATATATGTTAAATACAGGAAGTTATCATCCATCATCCAAACATGGAAGATAAAGGTTCGTCTTTCATCCTCTTTCTTCGACATATAGGGAAAGTTTCTTTACAGATTCAAATAACGAACTATTCGCTATCAATGACTAAATAAGTTAATGACTTAAAATGATATTTCATTCCATCAAATAAACAGACGATTTAGCAAAAAAAGAATGAATTAATCCAACCATCACTTAATGCCTAATAAGCAAACATTTAAGATCTTAAAATCTATTCCAAAAAAAAAAAAAAAAAAAAAAAAAACAAAAAGACGATGAAAAAGCTCATTTCGGAATGGATGAAACTGGAGAGGTGAGGGAAAAACTTACTCAAATGAGAAAGGTTTGTCGGACAAACTTAAACGAAAGTTTGTCATTATTACTACATTTCTTGAACTGCTTATTCTACACTCATACAAGCTTTTCAATTTCTTGTTTGCTCCTGACATTAACAAACCTCTCAAAAAAAAATCTCACGTAGTTGTAACTGACTTTTTAAAGAAGAGATTAACAATGAAATTCCATTTGTTTGATAGATTTGGCATTGCTGGCATTTTAAATATTTTAACATTCCAACGCGTTTCATCTGCTTAACGAACAAATGTGCTATCTTGAATTAAGTGATGATTTGCGTACAAATTGCTAATTTATATCAAAATTTTATAGTTAAATATGTCAGTGCATTAAACGGTCGAATATGAATTGGTTGGTCTTTATATTAATGCATTTGTTACAAAATATACTTAACTGCATGGTAGTACAACTTTCCTTTTTCATGTTGATTTAATTCTTTTGGTATGGCTGTTTGTACCTTTTTTTAAATTACTTTTTTGGCGGAAAGTGTGAGATTAGATGAAAGAAAAGCACTAATTAAATTCTCTTAAATAACAAGAGAAGATGGTCATAGTCAGATTATGCAAATACGATAAAGAAGGATGCATAATTCTGTTTGTGATATTATTGGCAATTGTTGACTTTTGTCGTCTATCGATCGATGCGAAAGGGAAAAAAAGCCTTTGTGGCGAGGAAATTTGCTTAGCAAACAAGTATATGATTTTTAAGGTTTGCAACAACGATTTATTACTTTTGCGTCTTAGCTTCGATAGAAGTAGAAATGGTCAGAAAATTACCTTCGGTGATTGATGAAACGGAAAAGAGTCGCATTGACGAGAATGAGCGGTTTCATTTAATTGGCCCATCTGAGGTATAACATTAAAGCAAAATTTGAAATAATGAAATGAATATTTTTAAAATATTTGTGCCGATATAACTTAATAATGAAATAAGTTAAAGTTGACGATGATATCAAACAATGTATAGGTTGATTGACATTTTACTGCTTCTTAATAATTTCTATTTTATAAAGATTTTCTTTTCAGAAAAATTGGACATTTCATCATTTAGATTTTAATGATTCCATTATTATACGTTTAAGGCATACACATTATGAATATTCTAAATCAAATAAAACTATGAGTGAGTAAGTATTGAAGTATAAGTTACATTATTATGCTACAGAAGTATTTTTTACAAAAATAATTAAAAATATAACTCTTGTATAACTTCATCAGTGCATTGGGAAGTGCTTATTTATTTATTTGTTTTAGACTTAAATTAAACTTTTTGGATATGAAAGGTTCACGTGTATTTTATACAAAGCTTAATCCTGGCGATACTTGGGTAAACTTTTTAATATATTCTATAATAATTAACTGCATATCTTATAGTAATTAATTAGATCTATCTGATATTTCATTGCATTAGATGTTGAAGTTATATAATTATTACACGGTAACATCTAAATAGTTTTTAGCATGAATAAGCCAAATTAAACTATAAAAATTAGTTTCATAAGTTGTTAAAGTAATAACTAAACTTCTGACTTCAGTTTTCATTAAATCATTACTACATTCTGTTTTAGCTTATTATGGGTTGCACTATAGCTTATTATTCAGGTGGTTATCATTATGGCACTGATCACTATAGAAATTATTATGAATTTGTGTTCATATTCTCAGTTTATGGTATATTGGTATGCACAGTATATTATTACTCATTTTTTATTTTTTTGAAATTAATTTGATTAATCTTAAACTAACTACTGCTTAGTAAAGAATAGTAATTTTCAGGTATATCACGATGAAAGGTATTTTAGGTATACGTGGCGCTGCATTAATGAAACTCAAGATATTGTCAAATTCAGTTACTATTTAAATGGTATAAAAGATTTTGAAGCAATATTGGAAGTACGACCTAAAAGAGCTGTATGTAATGATTTCTATGCTATGCTAAAATGTTTCATATCATTGATTTTTTTAATGCAATTTTTTTAATTTTTTGTTTTGCTATTTGTTTTTACTTTTGAATACGAAAAATTTTCCAGCGAATCCCAGGCGATTGGCATCTTGTAAAACCGATTCCAATTGGTAGCAAAATTGTTATCAAATATTGTCTGGGTAATAGAGTTGGGAAGAGTATAATAGTAATTCGATTAGCGGACAAGAATGGAATAGCAGCACTTACTGTAACTATAGACTATACAATAGGTGTAAGCAAACTTTTTTTTTTTCTTTTTATTTCATAAACATCAAAAATTTGAGGTAGCAAAAATTCTTAACCAGAAACTTTTAGATGCTTTTCACAAGGCGCGTTGGATTGGACGACAAAGACTTAGAATGCATTAATTTTTCAACTAGCATACGGTATATTTTGAATATGCTGGGTAGAATTGAAATTGCTGTATTCGCCCATCAATATAAGGTTTCAGTTTTAATGATATGCAATAATAATAATAATTTCATTAGAAATCATTAGAAATAATCAGTTTGTGATGAGTCATGAATATTATTTGATCAAACAATAACAGCTTACAATATTATTTCAATAGGTGCATCATTTCAAGCATTATTGGACAAATCAATATTATTTTCAGCTACATTGAAATAATTCAAATAACAATTTAATGGCTTATTAGACGAAACAAAAAAAAAAAAAAAGAAAGAGTTGAAATGAAGTTTAAAGAAGTTTGACACAAGAATTCATTCAGAGTTATATAGAGTTATTCGAATCTAGGCTAAGAGAGTGGGTAACTAAAAGTAATAGTGGGGTAATTCAATTTAAATTTTCACATTTATTTATTTTATCACTTATGCTTATTTTTAAGGTTACTATGTTAATGGGTGGAAAACATAAAGAAAGCAAGGAACCAGCTACGAGAGAATGTATGATTTATGGCCATCATTTATCTCCATACGACATTCAGCAAACTGTTTTTGATTCAACAAATAAAAAAAACATATTTTATGCTCATTATATAGAAACAGTGTGAAACTTTAGATTATTTATGTCTGAAATATTGCTATAAAGTTTTCTTCTTTTTATTCAGTTAATATGTTTTGATATATAAATATTTGTTTTAATTTTCATAGCCAAAAAAATTTCCTAAAGTGGATTAAAGAAGTTGTAAAGATTAAGCAAATGTGAATATGCTAATGTAAAAAGATTTCTGAAAAGATTTGTCAACTTATGCTCGATGTAAACATTCGGTAGATGAAAAAATTTGTCAACTTATGCTCGATGTAAACATTCGATAGATGAAAAGATCAATGCGAGATAGGCAAGTTCCGTTGCAAAAAAAACTCCGCGGAAGATCTGCTTGGATTCTTTGTATATGATTTTCTCGAAACTGACCCTATGTGCAGACGGTAGCTACGTTATGGATCGTACGTGATTTGGGATTAAAGTGGACTGGGTGACGGCTGATTGGCGTGCCCAAAGCATAATCTTCGGGAAGTGATAATATGTCTTGAAGATGAACTCAGGCAATTGCGTTCTCAATAAAATGGCTTCAATGACGTAGGCTTTGCTTTTTCATTATCATACTGTCAGCGTAGCGGAACGTGCGGAAGCGGTGTTGTATTCAAGGAGTTGGAAGTGTTCAAAGAGTGTATCACCGTATCTGATCTAGCAGATTGATTATTTTGGTGTACTGAGGAAGACAATCGCAATCATTGTGACACTTAACGCAAGCAGTATTCTAGTAAGAGCACATAGAATCCTTGTACGAGTTGCTAGATTGTTTCTTGCAATGAAAGGTCAATGGTATTTTAGAGTTATTTACTCTAAAATCACATTTATTTTCAGGTTAAAGTGTGGATAGTAATCTATTCAAAAGTATTCTTGCAAGGATTGGTGCCAGCAATAGAGAGCAAAGTAATACCTCAATATTTTGAATAGTTGAACTTTTTTATGTTTCCATATATAAGGTGCAAATAACTATATCATGTCATGGACATCTTTTAGAAGTTCGTCTTGTTTTCAGCAACTCACAATAAACTTCCGAAATTTAGATTTTTGATGAAATCTTATCAAGCCTAATGCCTTGTTACATTTTATTTACTGTCATTCGAAAATTTCTTCTAAACTGCTCAGACCGAATGGTGAACACATAATTTATTCTTAGTGTCTAGATACTTCTGCTGAAGTTTACTACATGCAAGCTGTTTTTCTTAGAACATAGCTTGGATGCCCTTTTTAGGTTGTTTTATTGATATAAAAGTAAAATAATATATTGCTTATATTTTTATTAATATTATAATTATTCTCAGAAACTATATATACATCGATTCTATCAAATAACACACTACGAAGAATTTAACAAAAGTGTTTCCAGCGCAGTTCAAAAAATAATAATAAAGTTAAACTTTAAATAACACATAAAAAATTCCAACTTTTGAGTTGGAAAAAGCTTTTGAATTGAGTTGGATTAAAAAATAAAAAATAAAAAAAAAAAATCATAAATATAAAGACTAATTCATCACATTGCTCATCCTATTCTTCATGGTCAAGATTTAAAAAAAAAGAGCTCCCAATAAAATTTACGAAAAAGGTTTAGACAGTTTTCTTTTTTTTAATACTATGTATATTTACACATGTTTAAAAATGATTTTTCATTATTTGAATGTGATTTACGCTGTAATTTCTGAAAATTTTAGTGATATCATATATAATCAAATACAAATCACTAATAATTATATAATAGAAGAAAAGTTCAAGCGAAATATCTTTGACGTAAATAATATAAAGGTTCACACTGGTTCAATGTAATATGCATAAAATACTGTTGTTTTATCAGTTGAATCAAAAACAGTTTGTTGAATATCGTACGGAGATAAGTGATGACCATAAACCATACATTCTTTCATGTTATTTGATCGTATTTCGTTCATTCCCATGGCAACCTGCGAGATCAAAATCATTGAGAAGCTGAATTACTCTCTGTTACTTTCAGTTATTTCATCCTTCAACTTACACGTGAACAACTTTCATCAATATTTGCGTGCGTCAATCATTCGACGTTTTTCCTTTTATAAATTTAAATCTTTCTCAGTTCTTACTAGATCAGAAGGGAACATGCACGGAGCATCAAAATATTAACTCGAAATCCAACCATTTTTGAAAACAATTTTAAAATATGAATTTTTTTTCTGTTTAAATTTTTCTTCTTTTCGTTCCCATAGATTATTAAATTATTGTTATTCAATAATGCAAACTATTTTGATATAGCTGAAACAACGCTCTTTAATAACGCTTGAAATGTTGCGGAAAAGCTTAATTCCGTTTGAGTGACATCGCTAATTTTTTTTTTTTTTTTTTTTTTTTTTTAATAAAATATAATATAATTGTAAGCTAATCGTTTCTAGTAAAATTATTACATAAAATGGAAACTAAAACCTTATATTGATGTGAGAAGACGCCAATTTCAACTTTACCCAACATTTGCGTGGTAAATTGTTGGGTACTTCCAAAATTAACGCATTGTTTGTTTTCATCGTCTAACCACACGCGTCTTGTGTAAAGTATCTTAAAAAACAAGTTTTTTTTTTTAAAAAAAGTTGCAACATTTCAATTCAATGATCAGTTTGAGAATGTTATTAGATTCGTAAACCATTTCATAAACAAATTTTTGATTTGCATGAAATTTGAAAAGTGCTTACACCTGTCGTATAATCTATGATTACATTAAGTGCTGCTATTTCGTTCTTATCCGTTAATCGAATATTTATTATACTTTTTACAGCGGGATAATATCTGACAATGATTTTGTAACCTATTTGAATTGGCCGCACAATACGCCAGTTACCCGGGATTCTCTAAAAAAATTCTTCAATATCCGAAAATAACAAAATGAAAAATAAGTGATAATGGACGAAGTGAAATATTTATTTCAGCACAAAAATCTACATACCGCAGTTTCCGGTGGCATTTCCAATACTGCTTCAACATAATATGTTTTAACTATAGAGTGTTTAAAACCGGTAATATCGGTAACTTGATTAATACACTCTTCCGTCTTTACTTTAAAACTGTAATCATGGAACAGCTGAAAACGATATATTAAGTTAAAAAGACGGCTAAATTAGGAATAATTAAAAAGAAAAAAATTGAATGATTAACTTTTACTTCAAATAATAGATACCATAATGCCAACACTTGAGAATAATAATAGAAATTCATAATACTTCTTATATTTGTTTTGTTCAAATGAAACAGTATTATATTTACCATGACGGCAAAATAATGAAAACTGCAAATGGAAAAAGCATTTAATCAAAGTTAGCTTATTTATGCTAACAAATTAATTGTAAACTGAGTAGATGATTTTGACTTCGAAGGCAATAAATTTTCCAACAATTAATTAAAATAAAAGATGCAAATTTACTTCGGCATCGCCAGGGACAATCATAAAAGCAGCTACGTAAGCTCCAGTTACATCCAGAAAAGATATTGTAATCCTAGAAATAAAATGAATATTTCTATAGAGAATAATAAATAATGTTTTACAATATAATTAACACTTAAAAAATGTCCCACTTATTCATAATAATATATTTAATATTAAAGTATTTACCAGGCTGAGCGTCTGTCAAAGAAGTAATAAAAATAGGAATAATGCTTTAAGCGTATCGTAACCGAATCATTGAAATTTAGTTGACGAAATGATCGCTTTAGCTGAAATAAACGATTTGCAAAATATAAACTTATTTCATTATATTGCAATATTAAATTATACTAAATAGCTTGCATATGTTTACAAATGACATTTTAATGTTTGTTTTTTACATTTTCAATTCGTCTTTAATGCCATACTTCATTATCTTGTGAACTAGATATATAAAATTGTGCTTCCTTGTCTATATACGGCTCTTCGCTTTCATCGTACACAGAAGGCAAAGATTCCGTCATTATTTTCTTCGAAATTAAGGCACAAAAGCTGTAAATTGCTATTGCAATCCTGAAAAGTCATAAAAATTGGACTTAATATCACTCTAGTTAATTTAAATGAAACCATTTATCACATTCATACGTATCTGAAAAACAAAAAACAACAAAATAAAACAAAAAAACAAAGATTACTGAATTGCTGGTTTGTTAAAGAAAAACAAAAAATTTAGAAATTGTAATTGTAAAATACTAATAACTTGTTCAATACACTGATAAGGAAGATATAATAAAAATGAATAATTGGCTTATCCAAATTACTGAACTTTTCTTGTATTATTTCAGATAAAAGATTGCAATTATTGTCATTGAAAATTTCATGCCTTACTATAGTTATATGTGCCTACAAAGTGTTTATTGAATGTAAGAAAAGATGAACAACGACTGAGGAACTATCCACTTTCTTCTAGAATTTTTCGTTGTAGAGTCACTCTTACATGTTTATCTCAAATTAAACTTTAGCCACTTCATATATCCATAGAAGCCCAAGAAGAAAAATTACACGGCAAGAAAATTTACAACTTTAATTCAAATTTGATTTATCTTTCCTCAGTTTAGCATATCGCTTAATAATTCTCAGAGATGGGCTGTTCTTGTTTTGTTGACAGATGATAAAAGCTATCTCAATGACATATTTTAACACTCTGATGTTACAATTATGCAATATTTCCCTATCGTATTCGCCTAGACCACTTTTTCTTGTCAGTTAAGAAAATTTAATTAATAATTTCATCTAATCTTTTCCTCAAAAGCAATTAATGAATGCATAAATCGCTGTACCGATGAAATTAACTGAAATTTTGGAAGTAAAGTTTGTCACCACAGCATCAAGTAAGTTTACATTCTAGAAAAACATTTACAAAAACCAACCACTTCATATTCCACCGCTTGTTGCAATGATATTTTTAACAACAAAACTTTGATTTAAAGAAATTTTAGTGTGTTCTAGCATAACATAAGACGGTTCTAGCATAACATAAGACGGCTGATATCTCTCCGTTAACTTTTTGCATTCAGTTAATATTATTCAATAAATACTGAAACGATTTGGATCAGTCCAACATCTAATGCCGGTTTACTCAGTGAAATTCTGTGCCGGTTCAATCAGTGCAGTTTAATGATAGCTAAAAGGACGCGCACTGTTTTAACACTACGATTCTATTCCAATGTTAGTTAATATGATGAAGGTCAAATAGTTGTAAAGATGGTATATTTTCACTATTGTATTGTTTACTTTCTTGCATACTACGTGTTTATGCAGATGTTTCACATATTTAGGTAGGAATATATTCATCTGAACATTGTCATCTATTTTTGACAAACCCAAAAAGTGAAGAACAAAAGGATGACCGAATGCTTGACAGAGATGTAACTGATAATGTGATAACGAATGCAACGAGTTTCATTTGCTTAACAAACAAATACGCTATTTTGAATTAAACGATGATTTGCATAAAAATTGCTAATTCAAATCAAGAAAAAAAAAGTTAATACTGAGAAATGCATTGCACGGATGACAAAAGAGTGAAGAATATGACTCTAATATGCACATAAGATCAAAGATACCAATAATAATTTATCAACAAAAAAAGGAATAAGTAACAAAGAATTTGACCAACAGAAAATATAAATTTCTTCTCTTCAAAGTGCGAAAGCTTTAATGTTTCTTCATGTGTAATTTCAAGCCTAGTTTACTCTGAAAGTCTTTACTGCAAATAGTGCAGTGGTAGACTGGTCTACTATTCATGCCATGAACTGCCGTGTGAATGTGCAAATCGCTCTTTCGTACGTAACCTTTCCCGCATACTGGACAACTGTGAGGCTTCTCACCGGTATGAATCATCATATGTGTTTTCATATTACTGGGATGATTGAAATTCTTTTTGCATATCCGACAACTGTACGGCTTCTCACCGGTATGGGTAATCATATGCTTTTTCATATTATGCAAGTAAGCGAAATTTTTGTAGCATATCGGACAACTGTACGGCTTCTCCCCAGTATGAGTCATCATATGTGTTTTCATATTTGTTACTTCCTTTCCACATATATCACAACGTTGCTTCTTTCTCCTCTCTTTTTGCTTTGATAGTTCGATCTCTTCCATCAGTGTTTCGATTGGAACGAGTTGTTGTCGCGATTTAATTCCTTCATCACTCACTCCATCCACTGATAAGCCTTGCGATTTATTCCCTTCCTTTTTCAGTTTTGGAGCCGATAAATCCAGAGTTCTTGTTTGAAGCACTTGCAAACCAATCCTTTCCTCATCCTCTCCGCCCATTGATAAGCCTTGTGATCCATGTCCGTCATCTCTCACTTTTGATATTGATAAATCCAACGGTTCTGTTTGGTCCGTTTGCGCTGCCTCAAATGATATGGAATTACACTGTGTAAAATTTTAAAATTTCAAGGTATTGCAGCGTTGTTGTATTTCTCAAACTTTAAGTGGACTTACAGTGGTTTGAATAGTGATCAACTGGAAGAAGAAGCAGAAGAAATAGATGAAATGCATGTCAATGAGAATAATTTGTTGCCAATTCTGAAAAAACATTCAAATTTACTGGACGGTGCTCACCGCTGTTGTTTGACAAATGCGCAAAGTAGAAATGTTTTTCTAAATATAATGGATTATTTACAAATTAATCATTGAGTTCCGAAATCTTTCTCATAACTCGAAACTTCCGAAAAAGATAACATCCTCTGTCGAAATAAATGAAATAATAAATAAAAACTTACTGAATGAAATTTGTTGAAGATTATTGGAGAATTGTATATATAAATGCTCATTCAGATGGGAGTGGCAAACTGCGTATATTGATGAACTTATGTCCACGTATAATAATATAAGTAATAATAGAATTTATATTAGTATAATAAAAACAGTCAGTGTTTAATCCTTTGCATTGAATTGTTTCATTTTAGTTGCTATATTACATTGTTGGAAATAATTTATGCAAAGCAGTTGCAACGTTTTTTGCACAATTTTATTTCGTTTCGATTCAATTTTTATAAATTTTCAAATCTTTGCAATATTGGTTAGAAGGGAAAATACATAATTACATTGCTTGCAATTGATATAGATAATTTGCGCATGCTAAATGACTTCATCTAATATTTCGTTTGAACGACGTCTGTAAATTTTCAGATTTGCTTTGTTTTAAATTTCAAATTTTTTAAAAAAAATTTTTATTTCCAAAAAATCGGAAAATTTGAGCGAAGTGAAACAAGATATATTTATAGTTTAACTGGTCATATTGATATTAAATTTTGTTAATCGGTTCTTTGCGATAAATTGAAAAACCTTTCGCAGCTGTAACAATACAAAAAAAACATTCATAATATTTTCCTTGTCAGTCTGAAATCTCAGAAGACTGCTACGCAAGTAATTTAATAAAGCAGAAGTTTTAAGATTGGCCATTTCTTCCTTAAATTTTTTTTTCAGACAGGTTCAATGTTTCGTTCTACATTTTGTATTTATTAGATTTATATAGAAGGTTAGTTTGATTGAAATAGATTAAAATTATTGGCATTGATCAAAAGTTACATGAAATAATAATGGCTATGTAACTGCAATGAAGAAAATAAAAGAAATGAATGCGATGTACTGATATCAAATGATTGATTTCTGATCCCTTCTGCGGGTACTCATATATGAAATGAATGAAGTAATCTATTTAATTTCCTCGTAATCTATTTTAAGTAATCTATTTAATTTCATTTATAATGATCTAGTGATCACTGAACTGATTAGCAATCATTGTTCATCACAACAGTCAAAGCTAGATTTTATTGATTAATTTTCAACTTTTTAAGATTTAAAATATAATTGTATTGGTGTTTCCTACACCCAAACTGCTTGTCCCAATCAGTTAATGTCAGATGCTTTAAATTAATTATCATTTTAAAGTAAAAAAGAATGCCAGAAATAATTTTTGATCTATCGATTATTTCCTCAAAATTTTATTCACTTTGATAAATTATATATTCTGAATTAATATTATAGTTACTCATTAATACCTCAGAAATGATCATATGAATGAGTGTTATAATCATTACTAAATTTCATGATTCTGATGAAAACTAGCTTATAATGATTATTATGATAGTCAAAATTGTTACTTTCGGAGTAATATAAGTAAGGAAGATAATAGATATGAAAGCAAAATGGAAGATCAAAATATTATTGCAACATTTTAGTATTAATAAAATTTTGAAATTAATTGAGGCAGAATGATTCAGTAAATGGTTAAGGTTTCTAATTGGTACTGAATGAATTTTGAGATTTTTAAATGTATGATCTTAATTTAAACTAATGTAAACTTTGAATCATCATAAAATTATTTCCTAAAATATGCATCGATTTTATGGAGTTGCAAAAATGATACCAATGATCTATCTAGTTATTTTTTCCAGAAATTCTTAATTCTGCAAAAAAAAAAAAAAAATACAGATTTGAAGCTAAGAAAAGTTCTTGAAAATTATAAAATCCTAACTTCTGCGAAGAAAGTGGTATTGATCAGATAGCAGCAAGATATTTTGAAAGTAAAAGTACAAGGATAACTAGAAGGTTTTTGTTATACAAGTGGTAACCGAAGAAAAAGATTTTTAAAAATTCTTTTAATTTAAATTTTAAAAAAGTTAAAAATTTAAATAGTTAAAAACCAAAATTGATAATTTAACACTTTGATTAATAAAGGAAAAAAGTCAATAATTATTACCTGTCTAGCTTTGCTGAACAAAAAAAAAAAAAAAAGAAAACGAAAAAATAATCTTTTAGTTTGAATAATTTTTTGATGTTTTTTTCTAAAGAATCATTTAATTGATATACTATAACAAACATTTTTATTGCCAAAATTTTTTATTAAAAAATATTTATTAGAAATAATAGCAATATTAATTAAATTATAATTATTTTACAAAATTATTAAAACATTTGAAAAACATTAACGTTTGAAAAAAAAAAAGCGAAATATTTATATTATTTATATATAGAATATAATAAAAAAAATAAAATATTATTGATTTTTTCCTAGTGATTGCAACAAATTTAATTTATTTTTCACTTTATTTTTCAATTTTTTCTTCTGTTCAGATGAAATTTCAAATTTATTTTCTTCTTTGATCATTTTATAAGCAAATCCTAAATCATTAACGTGAGCACGTAACGGACAGTCATTGTATGGATTTGTATTGCAGCAACATACAACCAACGGTATAGACGTCATTGCATCACGTGTATCCGTGTAAAAGCATTTTTTGGCAAAGCCATTTTTAAGATAATTTGAGCATAATGCTAAATATGGATATTTTTCCAGTAATGTTTGATCAATATCTGATATGCAACCAGCCGAAAGCTAAAATAAATATATTATTGCACATTTAGAAAAAAAAATGAATAAAAGATTAAAAAATAAATTTCTTTCAAAAAATTTAAATACAAAGAAACTAAAATAATTTATAAAAAGTTTGAAAAATGAAGAATAAGATTACACTATTGTTTACTGATATAATTAGTAAAAAAAAGAAAGAAAAACAATTCAACATTATAAATAAATTTAACGTTTGTTACAGCAAAAAAAGATTTACAGTATTTTTGAAAATGGAAAAATATTTAAAATTAATAATGGGTTATTAAACTAGAAAAAATAAAAAACTGTAATACCTTTTGCTATAAATAAACTATCTAATTTAGTTTTATGATAAAATTTTTGTGATAAATTTAAGATATAATTTTTATATTTTCATTCATAATTTAGCCCTAACTTACATTATTGGATATTGCACGTGGATCACTTATCATAGCATATCGAATATGATAACAACCCATCGGTGATTTACACTTGGCCAAATTTCGATCAGGCTGAATGCAAAAATTTTGCTCCTGTCGAAATGTCTCTTCGGTTTTTGTCCACACTGAATCGATTGGTACTAAATCACGCATAAACATACTTTGTATTTCTTTCTTCTTATTACATGGAGTATTGCCATCTAAAATAAAACGATTATGAATTTTATCATCAATTTACTTCAATTATTTTAGTTTTTTTTTTGGCAAATAAAGGATTATCATTCATTTATAAGAGTAACAATCATTGAAATTACACTTATTTTTGCCCAAAAATATAAACAATTACTTCTGATGTTGACCACTTTTTTTTCTTTTCTTAACAAAAAATAAAAATAACAATTCATAAAAAATATCATTATGGTGATAACAATTTTGTCAGAATTTTATCAATCTTTTTGTCTTTTTATTAAGATTTTATCAATCTTATTAGGATTTTTATCAACCTACTATTTGATAGGAATTGCAAAAAAAAAAAAAATGTTTGATAAATGTTATACAATTTACTATGAAGGGATCATCGATTAAATCTTTTATTATAATTTAAAATTTAATTATTTTTTTCTTTGCTTTATTTTGAAAAAAAAAAAATGAAGTACAATTTTTGCAGCAACAAATGACACGAGATTGAAATGATGTGCAAACATATGTTCCATCTTCTGTTGCAATTTTAATGCAAACATCACGAATTTCTGAATGAGTTGTAATTTTTACCTAAAGCAAATTGCATTTAACTTATAAAATATCAAAAATACTGAAAACAAAAAAAAACAATAAACAATAAGCAAATTGCTTAATTATGAAAGAGTTATTTTGAATAGGTAACAAATAACACTGAAAAAATGAATGATTTATTTACAATAATTTTAATTCAACTCAAATAAAGCAATTCTAACTTTAATTTTTAAAAAATTGCAATATTATAAATTTTCAGTAAAAATTATAGGAAAAAGGAATAATGAATTAAATGAATACATACTTCATCACTGATCCAATGAGCTATAAGCTCTCCGTTATTTTTGACAACTTCCAATTGATCATAACACCAAAATGTTTCAGCTATTTGAAACAGAAAAATGTCATTCAAAACAAAAAGAAAAAAAAAAACAGTGCTTTAAATTATATAAATATATTATATAAATTGAAAATGAATGTATTATATAAATTGGAAATGAAACAATTACAAACTATTTAACATTATCATAAATAATTAATTATTTTTTAATGATTTTTTTTCAAATGTTTCATTATTATATAAAAATCTTTCCTAGTCTTTTTATAATAATATTCAAATTCATAAATCATTCATTCATTAAAATATCATTACTAAACTTGGTTATAAAAAGTTTCTATAACAATTTAAAAATTTCTAGTTAAAACAATTAAAATAAAATTAAAATGAACAAAAAAATAAAATTTCAGTGCTTTCCTTTTATTTTTATATTTTTTTTTTATAATTTCTTTTTTCTAACTAAACATTTCTTTTAAAGTTTTATAATCATTCAGAAATTTATATCACTAAAATAAAATTAGAAAAATAACAAGAAAAATTTTACTTGATGGTTTTGTGATATTATTCATTAAAAATTCGGTTATACCGGTTGGTGCTGAATTTACCGTTTTCGTCATGAAATCCATATAATAACATTTAGGTAATTTGGATTTTTCAGCATCTCTTATTGCTTTTGTTGCTATTTCTTTTTCTAATTTAACATCACAAGTTGACTGATTCATTCTGAAAAAAAAAAAAACAAAAATAAAAAATTTTTAAGTTATTTATTTCTCTTATTAAGATTATTATTGAATGTTATCTATGAAATATTCATTCGTGAGCAATTATACATATCAAATTTTTATCTTTTCTGTTCATCTTTGGAATCTAATTAATTAATAATTATTTATTAACAAATGTTATTGCTAAGTTTATTCCTCTGTTCATTAGTAAAACAAAAGAAAAATTTCAAATATTTTTTCCAATTTTTTCTTTTTTTGAAAATTTTAAATACTTTAAAAAAAGAAGAAATTAGGCTTGTTTTTTTACTTTAATTTTCTCTTATAAAGAAAATTTGAAATTTTCTTGAAATTCTTCACTTCACAATAATTTTATTATAATTTCAAATTAAACATAAAATCATAGAAATAATTGTATCTATCTAATTTTTTCCGATATTTTTTCGAATTAATCAATCAATTTACTTCAATTATTTAATTTTTCAATGCAATTAATCATTTAATTTACACTGATCACTCTTATCATTCAAACCATTCTCTTTTTTTAATATTTTTGTTTTCTTTTCAACTATTTCCTATTGATGCAGCTAATATTTTCTAATTAATCTTTTTCGTAAATTAATTAAGTATTGAATGAATGCAATTATCAGAAAACAGAAAACCGGAAAACCTGTCTGATAAAGGTTTTCCAGGACAGGTACACATATATATCAGTCTACCCATTAACGTATCTTCTCGTTTGTAAATTTCATCTTTGCAATGAATTGGTATGTTTACACGTATTTTTGCTTCAATAAATCGGCAACCAAGTTGGTCATAAGCGCTAAAAAAAAATTTTTGTTTAATTTTATTTATCCAACTAATACATCAATATTTTCTATCTCTGAATTTTCTCTTTTTCACAAATAAATCTTTGATACATTTAAAAAGAAATAAATAAATAATAAAACTGTTATTACTTTTCAATTACAAATGAATAAACTAAAATTATTAAAATGCAAAAGAAAAAATGAAAAAATAACGTAATTGTTTTGATTAAATTGCTAATTTTAACAATTAACGCATGAAATGATTAAACTAATTTATCTCAAATAAATTAAGTCATCTTAAGTTTTCTTTTCCTTTTAAATAAATCAATATTTTTCTTTTTAAAAATTTTTTTAATCAATAATTTACTATTTCAGAAAGCAAAAAAAAAAACACGTAAAAAAAAGAGAAACTAACGTTTACTTACTTATAGTCTTCCTCACGTGGTAAATCCATATTAATATTCATATGCAAGTTGACAACTTGTCCAAGCACAAAATCATAATGCACTGCGCAATATTTTTTTCTGCTTGATAAGAAGACAAAACGAAAGGATGATAATTGAGAGCATAATGGATCATAAAATATATGATAACAGATTGATTATCATATCATTGTAAGCATAATGGATCATAAAATATATGATAACAGATTGATTATCATATCATTGTAAGCATAATGGATCATAAAATATATGATAACAGATTGATTATCATATCATTGTAAGCATAATGGATCATAAAATATATGATAACAGATTGATTATCATATCATTGTACATTCAAATTTTGTTTGCATAATACAAATACATTTAAATTTTGAATTAAAAAAAAAAGAGTTTGCTAAAAAAAGAAAACAGTTTGCTTTTTTTTTTTCTTCAATTCTATTAATTAATACAATTCATTGATAAAATGAATTGTATTAATAGCAAAAAAAGAAAAAAAAATTAAATATGTATATATATTATATCATATGATATATTTCTTTTGATTTTTATTAAACTTTTTTTTTCTTCCTATCTTTTTAAAAAAAATTTAAATTATTAAAATTAAAGAAAAAAAAAAAAAAAGAAAAACTAACTTCCATATAAATTGGCAGTAAATAGAAAGCACGATATGAGTACATATCATGATTGCATAAATGTTTACCCTCACAACAACATTCTACTTTCATCTCACTTTCCGGAAGTGTTTTTTGTTTTGGACAAATTAAACCACGAAATTGACAGTAATGATAACCAATTTCAGTTTTTCTTGCTAATGTACAACCGAATGCGACATTCATTTCAATTGTCCTCAAAAATTAATTTATCATTTTTTCTCTTTATTTTATAAAATTGAAAAGTTTAAATTTTAATTGTTAATGCTTATTTTTACACTATATTAGATTTATAATATTTCTATAATACAAGCTAAGTTAGATAGTAATTTAGATTACAATAAATGCAGCTATTAGTTAGATATAGCAAAAGTAAATTATCATTGATAAAAAACGAATTATTCATTATCATTTGAAAATTTTAGAGTTACAAATTTGAGATGAAAAAGCAAAAAAAAGAAACCTGACATTAATTGTTTCATTTATTGCTCGAATATTTCAATTATGTTTGTAGGAAAAATGAAAATTTTAATTTTGAATAAATTTCATTCTTTCTTTTTGATTAAAAATGATAATTTAAGAAATAGCAATTATTAATATAAATGTTACATTTGATATTCTTCACCAATTTTTTTCGTATAATGATAAATGGATCGACATGAGCTAATATTAGCCGGAAATGCTTCATTTATTAATCGATTTTCGCTTAATGTTTCATTCGTTTTGAGCTAAATAAAACAAGAAAAAAAAGGAAATTTTTTTAAAAGATACTACTAAAATAAAAATTAAATGTTATTATTTGACGAACATCAAATTTCTTTTTTTTAAAAAAATATAGAATTTAAAAAAAAAAATAAAATTTAATGTATGATGTTAACTTCAGTTTAAAAAAATTTTTTTTTCCATCAAAAATGCTAACATAGAAAATTATTAATATAAAAAATTTTAATACAATAACCTATTCTTTCGATATATTTTTCTTTTTTTTCACAAATAATAAGCAATAAATTGTTAATTACTTGTAATAATTATATATTATTAATGAAGTATTTAATGAAAATTATATTTGTACATTGCAAAATTATCTTTAAATAAGTATTATAATTTCTAAAATTCCAAATTTAATTTTTTAATCATTTACCATTCCAATAGCACAAACAATTTGTGACTTCTTTCTATATCTTTCATCCAATTTATTTTGATATTTCTTACGTATTGACTTCTCATCTAATTCATATTTTGCTAATTTATTTGGTTCATCGAGTGAATCGTTTATTAAAAATATCGGTTGGCTTAGATCAATTTTTAAATCATCCTTTAATGTACCGCAAACTTTGAATTCTTCATCGCAACAACATAACTGATAATAGAAATCAGGTGTTGATAATGTTACACATTCGGAATGCTGATTAAAAAAAGAAATATGATAATTTTATTTATCTAAAATTAAAATTAATTAATTTAGTAAAACTAATTTAGTAATTTGCTATCTAATTTTGATATAATCAATCATATTAATTCAACATGTTTTTGGTTGGAATTTGATTTTTTTTTTTTGTTTCAAATATTTAGTTAAACAGAAATGTAATTAATAATAAACTTAAGGATGATAAAAAAGCTAAAATTAATTTATTAATTTGATAATAAATTCTGCTATTTAAGAATTTTGGTTAAATAAAAAATTGAAAAAATTAGTAATTTAGTAATTTGAAGATAAATTTTTGGTATTTAGTAATTTTAGTTAAGAAATTATGTTAAAATTTTAGTAATTTAATAATTTGAGAATAGATTTGAATGAATAAATTATGTGATTTATGTGGTAATTAATAATCACTTTGAATGCAATATACCAATTGGATTTCTTTTTTAATTTAAATTATTTAAAATATATTTACTCACATCGAAATATTTATCTGCGCCATTTTTGCCAGCTACAATATATTTTGACCCACAAAATAATTTATTTCCCAATGCAAGATAATCGATTGGAAATGATTCATATTTTTGTTGTGGAAACTGTAATTAATAAAAATTGTGATTAAAATGATAAAACAATTTTTTAAAATATAATCAAAATAATGTTTATTACTTTAAAATTAATGAATTTAATTTTAGCTATAAGAAAATAATTTAATTTATAATAAAAGCTTTCAGGTATAATATTTTTCATTTTATATCCAAAAACTATCTATGAAAAAAAAGCAGGTAATTATGAGTCTTTTGACAAAAATTTATTACTTAATATATTAACAAATTAAATTTATTATAGCAGAACATATAACATTCATATATATTTCAATAATAATTAATCAAAATAATAATTTTGTAATGATTCATTAAAATAGCAAAATAATAATTTAATAGCAATTAATTAAAATGATAATTTTATAATGATTAATTAAAATAACAAAATAATAATTTAAATTAGGCAAATTTTTTACATCAAAATTTTATTTAAATATAAAATTCAATACATAAGTACTATAACATACGTAATTTTTAATAAGATCCGATGCTTCAAATTGTGCTAAATTATGCATATGAAATAATCCAACATCAAAATGAGGAATAAAATCTGCTTTTCCTTCGATAATTGCAATACATGAATCACCGGTATTTATATTTCCCTGTCATTTTTTTTTCTTTTTTTATTTATGAAAAATATTGAAAATTATTTTGTAAAATTTTACATTCCTATCATAAATAATAATACTTTTTCTTTTTTTGACTGCACTTATTAAATAGTAATGATTAAACAAAATAAGAATTAAATATGAAAAAAAAAAAGTGTAATAATCATTTTTAATTAATTATTTTTTTAAATTTATTTATATAAAATAATTTCGTATATGTGAAAAATAAAAGAAAAAAAAAAAAAAAACAAAAAGCGAAATCATAAACTTTATGCAAACATTCTGCACGAATATTATTAATAGTTTCAATTTCTTTTGGTGATATTATCAGCTGATAATAATCTGCCAATAATTTATGATAAAATGAACTGGTGATAAAATTCATAGCACCATTGTCATCATCTATTTGTAAATTACCTTTACGACAAAAAAATATTGCATCAACATAGCGTAGTACTTTTTGCTCACTGTAATTTCACATAAATAAGTTATAGATTTTTGATTTTTAAAAATTTTTCTTTATAAAGTTTTTAAATCTTGTAAAAAAAATTTCAAATGTTAGAAAAATTGTTGCATTGATTGATAATTTAATAAATAAAATTAAATTTTCACCTTAATTTAAAATTTGCTGCTGCTTAAAAAATTTTTAATTTAAAAATTAAAAAAAAAATAAGTTTAAAAATTGTTAATCATGAAAAAGTTGTTGTTGTCGTTTACTTACAATTTTTACAAATTTATGAATTTTAAAAGATCATTACTGCAAATTTTAAAATTATTAGTGTTAATGAATTATCTTTCTTAATGATAATAATATTAATAATGCACAACCTTAAAAAGTAAATCTTTAAGTTATGATATCGTAATAAATAGTGAAGAATAATAGTTATTATTATTATTTGTAATAATGAATGATATTTATAAATTTTACTTTTTATACATTATCATATTATTCCTCAATGACAATGTATTTTAACTGTAATCTAATTATAAAAATTTCATAGAATTACTAAGTTAACTAATTAATCTTAAAGTAATTATTTAATATTTACTTTAAAATAATATAAAAATAATGAATTTTTGTTCAGTGTTCTACAATTTACAGAAATTATCAAAAATGCTTCATTTTTTTTTTTTTTTTTTTAATTTATAAAATAGTTATGAGTGAAATAAATAATAATTACAAAATGTATTACTTAATTTTTAGTAAATAAATTATTGATTGATTGATTTACTTTTTTAAATGCACTGTTGATTGAGTTAAATCATTCAATGTACTATTCAAAATAATTGGAAAATTTTCAGTGCTATAAGTGAAGCCATATAATTCATCATTTTTTGATGTCGAACAAAGTTGTAATAAATGCTCAGCATTAATTGATTCAGCATGATCATTCGATTTGTAATTCACTGTTGTACTCAAATCCATTGCTAACCAATAATAGCAATATTTTGATGCTACAAAATTTGAATTAAATTAAATCTGTAATACTTTTATTACAAATATATTATTTTAAAAATAGAAAATAAAAATGACATCAATAATTTATATCAGAAATGATCGAAAAAAACGAGAAAGTAATTTTTTAATTTTAATTTCCTGATCCATACCAGTATAATTAGATTGAGTAAATAAGTTGGTGCAAACAACAGTTTCATCCGTCCCTTCTGAAAAACTGCTACAATTAGATTTTGATTTTTAAAAAGTTGAAAATTATATTTAGTTCAAAGCTAATTTGCATATTTAGAAATCTAAGCTTACTAAGTGTGATAAAATAACTATTCATTTTCAACAAATTAATTTACCATCTTATCATACCATATCAAATGTTAGCTATTGTGATGAATGATAACTGTAAGTTGTAACTAAAAATTATCATTTCTTTAATTATGTGATAAAATGAATAAAAGTGACTTCTTCTTTTAGTAATTACCCAGATAATGAGCTAATTAATTAATTAACTAACTAGCAATCAATGATTGCGGTGATAAAATGTATGGAAACTTAAACTTAAAGCAATTGTTATTTTATAATCTTAAACTATTTTATGTTATTCTGTTTCTTTAAAAAAAAAAAAAAAAAAAACAAAAAATCCTTTAAATCTGATTTAGTTGGTCATTCCTTTTTAACAATAAAAGTCAAAAAAAAAAGAAAAAGTTTAACTAAAATGACTCTACATTGTTTGATGATTAATAATAACTGTTATAATATTTACTTATTTGAAAGTTTTTTTAAAATATTAAAATTAAAATTGCAAAAACTATGTGATGAATTATATAAAAATGAATTTTGTACACTTTTTTTTTTATTGAAATTTAGTACAAACAAACGTTGTTCATTGCAAATAATTGTTGATGCATTGAGATAAAAGATAATTAGAAATAAATGAAAGTTGAAAATGAAATTTATCATTTTAATACAACGCAACATAAGCAAATACATAAACAACCACTAAAAGTGTTTTTTTCAACAAACAAATTTTTTTATCGATGAAAAAAAAAATGTCAAAGTTTGAAAATTTATATTCATTATTTCTTCACTAATTTTGCATAATTACATTTTAAAACAATTTATTTTAGCATTATTATTAAATATATTAGTGCATTAAGCGGTCGAATATGAAACGATCGATTTTTTTAAATGTGCCAACTGCAAAGTATAATTACTGTATGCTACGGTAGCTAATTTCCTTTCATACATTTTCAATTAATTACTTCCATTCTTCCAGTAGAGAACAACGAACAATTATTTTTGATGGAAAGCAATAAGATTTAAATAAAACTATTAAGTAAATCTTTTTTTTAATGAACAAATATGATAGAGGAAAAATACATAATTATATTTGTGTATGAAATATTCAATAATTTTAATAATAATATTAGTAATTTATCACTACAGTAACTTTATAAAGAGGCTTTTCTGGTTTGAAAATATGTGACTTTTCAGGATTGCAATAACAATTTATAGCTTTTGTGCTTTAGTTTCGGATAAAATGGTAGTAGAAGCTATGCCATCTGTGTCGTATGTAAATGAACTACGACCTATAAGCCAGGATGATGATTATTATTTGATTTCTGGAAGAGTTCAAAATAAGGTAGTAAAATAAGAAGAGTTCAAAATAAGGTAAAATAAGGTAAAAAAAAAATATATATATATATAGCATTAATGAATTGCAAAAAAAAAAAAAAGCAAAACAAAACATTTGCAAGCAATTTAGTATAATTTAATATTGCAATACAATAAAATAAGTCAGAAATTTTGTTTTCTCATCACTTTTCTTATGTTATTCATATCAAAGAATGCTGTCAACTGAATAATATTATGTAATAAGTTATTTATTTCTTCAACTTTACTATTTGTTTGTAAATTATTCATTTCATTTGAGGTAATACGATCGTTTCATCGGTTAGAATTTAATGATTCCATAAAGATACGCATGAAGCATTACTCGTACTCTCAGACACTTTGTGATAAAACTCAATGCATGTAATCATTTATTATGATATATTATTATGATCAAAAAGCATTTCCTGAAATGCTAATTAGAAATAATTAATCATTCCAAGCAATGCTTATGTTTTATTCCAGAATTATATTTAATTTCTTGGATGAGCATGAAGATGAAATTGTTCGATTGACAATTAACCCTGGCACAGCTGAAGTATGATTTCTTAAATTTTATGTTATTATTATTATTCAGAAACGTTGTTACATCTAAATTGAAAGTGAAATTATTTTCTAGCAGTATTTTACAATTGATTTATTAGCATAAATAAGCTAATTTCAATTAAATGCTTCTTCCTTTTGCAGTTTTCATTATTGTGCGTTTCTGATAAAGCTATCACCGCTGCATTTCCGAATAACACTTACAATAAATATTATGAATTTCTATTATTATTTTCAAACATTGGCATTATGGTATATAATTATTTAAAATAGTAACTACTCTCTTTCAATTATTTCTAATTTAGCAATTAGCAGTCTTTTTTTTTTTTTTAATTTAGCATATTATTTTCAGCTATTCTATAATGAATATTTTAAAGTTAAAGTGCAACACTGTATCAATCAAATTACCAATATTACCAGTTTTCAACATATTATAGCTGAAACATTTGATTTTGAAGCGTCGTTGGAAGTACGGGCGGAAAATGCGGTATGCAAGATTTCTGTGTTGAAATAAGTATTTCACATCATTGATTATTATTTATTTCTCATTTTATTATCTTTGGGAGTTAAAAAATTTTGCAGAGAATCCCAGGCAATTGGCATGTTGTAGAGTCAATTCCAGCCGATCACAAAGTCATTATCAAATATTACCCAAATGAAAAAAGCATAATAACAATCCAATTAGCAGATAGAAACGGAATAACAGCACTTAATGTAATCATAGATTATACGACAGGTGTAAGCACTTTTCAAATTTCATACAAATCAAAAATTTGTTTATGAAATGGTTTACGTATCTAATAACAACCTCAAACTGATCATTGAATTGAAATGTTGCAACTTTTAGATACTTTACACAAGACGCATGCGATTAGACAATGAAAACAAACAATGCGTTAATTTTGGAAGTACCCCACAATTTACCACGCAAATGTTGGGTAAAGTTGAAATTGGCATTTTCCCACAACAATATAAGGTTTCAATTTTGATCTTATGCAATAATTCTATTAGATTCAATCAGCTTATAAGTATATTACATTATTGAAAGAAAAAAAATTAGCGATGTCACTCAAACGGAATTAAGCTTTTCCGCGACATTTCAAGCGTTATTAAAGAGCGTTGTTTCAGCTATATCAAAATAGTTTGCATTATTGAATAACAATAATTTAATAATCTATGGGAACGAAAAGAAGAAAAGTTTAAACAGAAAAAAAACTCATATTTTAAAATTGTTTTCAAAAATGGTTAGATTTCGAGTTAAAATTTTGATGCTCCGTGCATGTTCCCTTCTGATCTAGTAAGAACTGAGAAAGATTTAAATTTATAAAAGGAAAAACGTCGAATGATTGACGCACGCAAATATTGATGAAAGTTGTTCACGTGTAAGTTGAAGGATGAAATAACTGAAAGTAACAGAGAGTAATTCAATTTTTATCCCATTTCTCCAGTCTCTCATTCAGTTGATTCGGTGACATTTCGTAGATTACAATGCAAATAAACGAACGATCACAGTTAATTACTGCGGATGGATGTTTAATTTATGGTCATCACTTATCTCCTTATGACATTCAGCAAATTATCTTTGATTCAACAAATAAACGAGCAGTATTCTATGCTTATTACATATATCAGGCTTGAATCTTTATTCTCTCCCTCTGTCAAAAAGTTTGAATTTTTCCTCTTCATTCAATTGTTATATAATTTATCTTTGATTATAAAAAGTGAAATTTTTATCAATAAACGTAAAAATTAGAAAAAAAATATGCTATACCTTTTATTATCACCTCTGTTATCACTAGATAAAAAAGCTATGTGAAATATATTCTATGCATTTGATTGAAAATTTCAATAATTTCATGTATTCATCTTTCAAAAAGCTAAATATCATCAAACTTTCGTTGTAGCAATATACCTAGGAATAAAAGACAGGTGTTGATAATATTACACTTTTGCAAAATTGAACAAAATTAAAATATTTTTTACATGTAATATAATTTCAGATCTAACCAGAAGAATATGTAGTTGTAAATTATCTATAAATTGAGCGTCTCAGTGAAATCTATCGCCATAAAAGTAATCTCATACAGTAGTAGTTCAGCTACATGTTCTTCTGGTTAGGTCTGAAATTATATTCATAATTAAAACTCTAAGTTTGTAATTTTGCGGAGAAATTATAAGGTCTAATGAAAATAACCTACAATTTACCTTTATTGTTGAACAACAAAATTGCTCATCAAAGATGCTACCTGTCCTATCTTACAAAAAAAAAACAGCTTTTAGTCTTGCAGAAATATCCAGACGCTAAGACTAAGTTATGTGCTCACCGTTCGATGAAGCTTAGAAGAGACTTTCAAGGTGACACATACAGTAAATGAAATGTGACGAGGCACTAGGCTTAATGAGATTTTATCCGAAATCTAAATTTCGGAAGTATGTTGTGTACTGTTGTTCTTTAAGCTTACTCAGCCTTATACAACTGAAAACTCAGACTAAAAACCTAAAATCATTTTTTTTAAGAAACGCTTTTTGCAAACAAAGGCTTTCCTTGTTTTGCATAACTCATAAATTCCTGCTTTGCAGAAACTGTAGAATACCATCTCTTCATGTCACTGTAGGATCATTTAAGTTTATATTGGTCTAGCAGTATATTGATCTCGGACACCAGGAACAACAGAGAGATTGACAATAAAACAAAGACATTTGGAAAATCCCACAAAAAATATAAGACAAATAAATACCTAACGAAAGATAACAAAATTACTATCTTTAGAGCCTTTAGATATTGTCCATTCTTCTGCACAGATGAGTCACTTATGAACCATCTGCTATTACTATCTCGGACTCTTGGAATACAACTCCGCTTCCGCACGTTCCGCTGCGCTGACAGCATGATAATGAAAAAGCAAAGCCTACGTCATTGAAGCCATTTTATTGACAACGCAATTGCCTGAGTTCATCTTCGAGACATATTATTACTTCCCGAAGATTATGCTTTGGGCACGCCAATCAGCCGTCACCCAGTCCACTTTAATCCCAAATCACGTACGATCCATAACGTAGCTACCGTCTGCACATAGGGTCAGTTTCGAGAAAATCACATACAAAGAATCCAAGCAGATCTTCCGCGGAGTTTTTTTTGCAACGGAACTTGCCTATCTCGCATTGATCTTTTCATCTATCGAATGTTTACATCGAGCATAAGTTGACAAATCTTTTCAGAAATCTTTTTACATTAGCATATTCACATTTGCTTAATCTTTACAACTTGAAAATTTTTTCTTTTTTTAGCTATAAAAATTAAAAAACAAATATTTACACAACAAAACATGTTAACTGAATAGAATAATCCATTCTATTCAGTTATTCAACAAACTATATTTCTGATTCATAAGAATATCTCAGAATAAATAACTTAAAGCTTCACACTGGTTCTATATAATAAGCATAAAATACTGTTCTTTTATTTGTTGAATCAAAAACAGTTTGCTGAATATCATATGGAGATAAATGATGACCATAAACCATACATTCGTCCATAGGCATATCAAAAAATTTTCCTCTTACGGCTCGCATAGCAACCTTGAAAATAAATATTTTATTTTCAATTATTATTTTACCTAACTTTAAACAATTTTGATGAATATTTTTCTCAGTAATTTTATATATTTCATATTTAGCTTTTTCTCGATATGCTGAGAAAAAAAATTTCATAAAATTATAAAGTTTCAGTTTGTGACAAATAGCAAAATGTTAATTTTTGTATTTTTTCAAAAATAATATAATGAATTTATTTTGTTTGACTTCTTTTCCCTTCTATAAACTATCAGATTATCATTATTTAGCAATATGAATTATTTTGCTATTAGCTAAAACGAACGAACAAATCTATTCAATGTTAATTGAAATAAAACAAATCAAGCTAATGTCTATTGAATTTAGCATTGCAAGTTTATCTTTCAGTTAAATAAATATAATCGAACAGTCATAAGTTTGATCGTTTTTCTGATGGATTATTGTATAAAGTCAAAACTGAAACCTTATATTGATGTGGGAATACGCTAATTTCAATTTGACCAACTAATGACCAAAATATTCGTTCAGTGCGTGCAAAAACGACACATTTTATGTTTTGATTATCTAATCTAACACGTCTTGCAAGAAGCATCTGAAAGTTCAAAGTTCAAGCATTTCTGCATAGCTGATCAATTTAATCAAAATTCATAAATGACAACTTATAACGAGATCATAAACACATTTTTAATTTTTATTAAATTCAAAAAAAAAAAATAGAAGAGAGTACCCCCATTTTATGATCTACAATAACGGTAAGTGCTGTTATTTCATTTTTATCCGTTAATCGAATTGTTACTATGCTCTTCTCATCTTCCTTATCCGGATAATATTTGATAACAATTTTGTGATTTATTGGAATCGGCTTAATAATATGCCAATTACTGGGAATTCTCTGTAAGAAAAAAAATAAAATAAAAAAATAACGAAATTAAAGAAAAAGAAATAAAACAAAATAGAATTAAGTAATAATCAATAATATGAAATATTTTAGCATAAAAAATGTTTGGCTTTTAATACATACAGCACTTTCAGGTCGTACTTCTACCATGGTTGCTAAACTATGTATGCCCACTGAATTGTGTTTAAATTTGGTAATGTCAGGAATACGACTAATACAGCTTTTGCTTGTAAGATAAAGTTTTTCTTTCAAGAATACCTGGAAGCAACACTATCAATTAATAAGTAATTAAATTAATGAAAAAATAATCAAACTTTTAATTAATTAATTAGAAATGTTGATCAAAAAAATATGAACCATTATGCCTTGACTTGAAAACAATAATATAAACTCATGATACAAATGTCCATATGGTGGAAACCACCACATAGTAACAGCACTTTCATATGGTTTGTAAATGCATTTAAGTTTAACCTAAAAATGATCAAATGATTTAGCTGAAATATATCAAAAATTAAGCTTTAATTTATGTAATGCTTTGTTGACTAATTTCCTAGAAAATATTCCAAATTATATAACCTTAACGTCTATTGCAAAAAAAAAAGGTATATAAAATATAAAACTTTACTTCAGAGCTGCCAAGACAAAACATAAAATGAACAATTTCATATTCGTCCTTATCCAGAAAGTAAAATGTGACACTGAAATATGAAAATGTATTTCATCCAAATTTGAAATGGGTTTTTGCAAATTTAAAAAAATGTTCTAACATGCATTTAAAATTAGATAGCTACATTTTGAATACTTACAAACTCTGATTTTTATTTGATTCAGAAAAATTAAAATAAGTGTTATCCATGCGTATCATAATCGAATCATTGAATGCCAATCGATGGAATGTCCAAACCTTCTAAAAATAAAATCTCACAAATATAAATTCTTAAGCTTAAACATACATTGCTCACATCATTATATAATATACTAATACTTTCACAAATAAAAATTTATACTGCATTATCGAATTATTATTGAATGATCATTGCATATGTTTAAATAAATATTTTAAATATTTCCTTTTTATTTTTTATTTTGAATTACTATCCTAGCATTATACCTTAGTTGTATTATAGAATATAAATCGTTCATTCTCATTTATACGACCCTCATCAATTATTTCAGGAACGTATGGATATCTGGTAAAAACTTTTGTTGCCATTAACATTTTTTTTGAAACTAAAGTATAAGAGCAATAAATTGCTACTGTAATCCTGAAAAGTATTCATATTTGTTGTAAAAGAAAAAATTTGAAGAAATTATATACTTGTGAAACAAAAACTAAAATGTTTAACAGCTTCTTTAACAAATCGATAAAGGGAAAATCTTAAAGAATATTTTAAGATATGTGATATTTCATTATCAAATTAATAGAACAGCTAAGATAGCATATTGTTGATTGCTGACTACTTTCAAAATATTTAGAACGAAAATATCATTGAATTCAGTGATATAAAAGCAATTTATTTTCAAACAAATTTCAGAGTTAATTTTTCTGCAATGATTTCATTCGAGTTTTTCATTTCATCGATATAATTCAGAAATAAATAATTGGCTTATCCAAATTACTGAACTTTTCTTGTATTATTTCAGAAAAAAGATTGCAATTATTGTCATTGAAAATTTCATGCCTTACTATAGTTATATGTGCCTACAAAGTGTTTATTGAATGTAAGAAAAGATGAACAACGACTGAGGAACTATCCACTTTCTTCTAGAATTTTTCGTTGTAGAGTCACTCTTACATGTTTATCTCAAATTAAACTTTAGCCACTTCATATATCCATAGAAGCCCAAGAAGAAAAATTACACGGCAAGAAAATTTACAACTTTAATTCAAATTTGATTTATCTTTCCTCAGTTTAGCATATCGCTTAATAATTCTCAGAGATGGGCTGTTCTTGTTTTGTTGACAGATGATAAAAGCTATCTCAATGACATATTTTAACACTCTGATGTTACAATTATGCAATATTTCCCTATCGTATTCGCCTAGACCACTTTTTCTTGTCAGTTAAGAAAATTTAATTAATAATTTCATCTAATCTTTTCCTCAAAAGCAATTAATGAATGCATAAATCGCTGTACCGATGAAATTAACTGAAATTTTGGAAGTAAAGCTTGTCACCACAGCATCAAGTAAGTTTACTTTCTAGAAAAACATTTACAAAAACCAACCACTTCATATTCTACCGCTTGTTGCAATGATATTTTTAACAACAAAACTTTGATTTAAAGAAATTTTAGTGTGTTCTAGCATAACATAAGACGGCAATTTACTTTATCACTGATATCTCTCCGTTAACTTTTTGCATTCAGTTAATATTATTCAATAAATACTGAAACGATTTGGATCAGTCCAACATCTAATGCCGGTTTACTCAGTGAAATTCTGGTGCCGGTTCAATCAGTGCAGTTTAATGACAGCTAAAAGGACGCGCACTGTTTTAACAGTACGATTCTATTCCAATGTTAGTTAATATGATGAAGGTCAAATAGTTGTAAAGATGGTATATTTTCACTATTGTATTGTTTACTTTCTTGCATACTACGTGTTTATGCAGATGTTTCACATATTTAGGTAGGAATATATTCATCTGAACATTGTCATCTATTTTTGACAAACCCAAAAAGTGAAGAACAAAAGGATGACCGAATGCTTGACAGAGATGTAACTGATAATGTGATAACGAATGCAACGAGTTTCATTTGCTTAACAAACAAATACGCTATTTTGAATTAAGTGATGATTTGCTAATTCAAATCAAGAAAAAAAAAGTTAATGCTGAAAAATGCATTGCACGGATGACAAAAGAGTGAAGAATATGACTCTAATATGCACATAAGATCAAAGATACCAATAATAATTTATCAACAAAAAAAGGAATAAGTAACAAAGAATTTGACCAACAGAAAATATAAATTTCTTCTCTTCAAAGTGCGAAAGTTTTAATGTTTCTTCATGTGTAATTTCAAGCCTAGTTTACTCTGAAAGTCTTTACTGCAAATAGTGCAGTGGTAGATAGGTCTATTCATATCATGGGTTACCATGTGGATCTTCAAAATGTATTTTTCTGTGTAACTTTTCCCGCATACTATACAACTGTACGGCTTTTCACTGCTATGGATCATCATATGCCTTTTCATATTACAAGACTGAGTGAAATTCTTTTTGCACACTGGACAACTGTACGGCTTTGCACCGGTATGGATCATCATATGTTGTTTCACATGACAAGACTGAGTGAAATTCTTTTTGCATATCCGACAACTGAATGGCTTCTCACCGGTATGAGTAATCATATGCTTTTTAATATTTTGCAAGCAAGTGAAGTTCCTTTTGCATATCGGACAACTGTGCGGCTTCCCCCCAGTATGAGTCATCATATGTGTTTTCATGTATGTTACTTCCTTTCGACATATATCACAACGTTGCTTCTTTCTCCTCTCTTTTTGCTTTGATAGTTCGATCTCTTCCATCAGTGATTCGATTGGAACGAGCCGTAACAGCGGTTTAATTCCTTCATCACTCACTGCCTCCATTGATAAGCCTTGTGATCCATCTCCTTTCTCCTTCACTTTTGATATTGATAAATCCAACGGTTCTGTTTGGTCCGTTTGCGCTGCCTCAAATGATATGGAATTACACTGTGTAAAATTTTAAAATTTCAAGGTATTGCAGCGTTGTTGTATTTCTCAAACTTTAAGTGGACTTACAGTGGTTTGAATATTGATCAATTGGAAGAAGAAGCAGAAGTAATAGATGAAATGCATGCCAATGAGAATAATTTCTTGACAATTCTGAAAAAACATTCAAATTTACTGGACGGTGCTCACAAGAAATATCACCGCTGTGTTGACAAATGCGCGAAGTAAAAATATCTTAGTGTAAATGCTTTTCTAAGTATAATGGATTATTTACAAATTAATCATTGAAACTTTCGAAAAAGACAACATACTCTGTCGAAATAAATGAAATAGAACTTACTGAATGAAATTTGTTGAAGAGAATTTGACAGAGACCACAAGATCACTTCTGTTAGGTATTATTCGAGAATTGTACGTATAAATGCTCATTCAGATGGGAGTGGCAAACTACGTATATTGATGAACTTATGTCCACGTATAATAATATAAGTAATAAGAGAATTTATATTAGTATAATAAAAACAGTCAGTGTTTAATCCTTTGCATTGAATTGTTTCATTTTAGTTGCTATATTACATTGTTGGAAATAATTTATGCAAAGCAGTTGCAACGTTTTTTGCACAATTTTATTTCGTTTCGATTCAATTTTTATAAATTTTCAAATCTTTGCAATATTGGTTAGAAGGGAAAATACATAATTACATTGCTTGCAATTGATATAGATAATTTGCGCATGCTAAATGACTTCATCTAATATTTCGTTTGAACGACGTCTGTAAATTTTCAGATTTGCTTTGTTTTAAATTTCAAATTTTTTTAAAAAATTTTTAATTTCCAAAAAATCAGAAAATTTGAGCGGAGTGAAACAAGATATATTTATAGTTTAACTGGTCATATTGATATTAAATTTTGTTAATCGGTTCTTTGCGATAAATTGAAAAACCTTTCGCAGCTGTAACAATACAAAAAAAAACATTCATATTATTTTCCTTGTCAGTCTGAAATCTCAGAAGGCTGCTACGCAAGTAATTTAATAAAGCAGAAGTTTTAAGATTGGCCATTTCTTCCTTAAATTTTTTTTTCAGACAGGTTCAATGTCTCGTTCTACATTTTGTATTTATTTGATTTATTTATATTTTGTATTTATTAGATTTATATCTACATATTTATTAGATTTTTTTATATAGAAGGTTAGTTTGATTGAAATAGATTAAAATTATTGGCATTGATCAAAAGTTACATGAAATAATAATGGCTATGTAACTGCAATGAAGAAAATAAAAGAAATGAATGCGATGTACTGATATCAAATGATTGATTTCTGATCCCTTCTGCGGGTACTCATATATGAAATGAATGAAGTAATCTATTTAATTTCCTCGTAATTTATAATGATCTAGTGATCACTGAACTGATTAGCAATCATTGTTCATCACAACAGTCAAAGCCATCATGAAAAATCGGTCAAGAACAGAACGTAATAACTGAAGCTGTTGAAAAAATAGTGGACAATTGGACAATTGACCACAGTATTATTTTTTTTGCAGTATTTTTTAATTTAGCAAGCAAATCAATTTTGCATGTAAACGGTAATGAGCTGTGCAACAGAAGATACACCTGTAATTTTGAGCATGTATGGATACAAAAGAAAAAAAATTTCTTAATATTGATATTACCAAATACTTTAATTGATAATAATGTTTAAAAATTCGAGCAATTCATTCATTTACTTGCTATTATTATTATTATTATTACTATTATCAGTAATCTATTTACTGCTTTTTTAATTAAGACTAACAAAATTTCTTACTTACGCTTTTAAAAATTTATGAATTGCCAAAGCCTCAGAAAGCTGACAAACCCAAGGCAAGGTATGTCAGTTTTGTTTTTCCCATTCACTTCATTATATCATTTATACTCCATTTACATAAGTTCAACTTGGCTTATTTACTGTGAGAAAAGATTTTTGTATCTCTTGCTTTATATCATAATCAATCACTAAGTAAAAAAAAAGAGCCATTGCAATTAATTGATATTACTCATAAATAAAAATTAAATGCAAAGTAAACAATGAAAATAACAGCAATAGCTCTTTTTCAAAATTTTAAGTTTTCACACACTGAACTATAGCTATAGGTGGAAATACCTTTGAAGAAGGCAACATAATTCAGAATATTCCACAGTTTCACTGCTTCAGAGAAGATACGACAACTCAATTGAAGCATGTAAATATCAAACACACATGGAAAGCTATAAGAAACCCATTTGCCCCAGCCATTTGCTTGCAGAAAGCAGAATGAGAATTTACTGCAATATAAAAGGTATAGAACTGAGAGAAGAGCGGTACTTAACACATTAGAAGGGAAGTGAATTGTTCACAGGGAGCTATTACCCAGTTTGCATCTCAAACGATAATATTAAAATGTTCGCGAATAGCACTAATAGTCAAATCCTCGCCGTGCTCGAACACTTCTTGAGACTATGCATGAATGCCTTAATGCGATCGTACATGCAGTTTTCGTGAGATGAAAGAATAAGTGCGCTCCTTTTGCCTGTTGGAAGAAGGGCGGTACTTGACATACGCATGAGAGGAAGTATGCTCGACTTGTAAGGGATGAAACTAATATCCATTTTGCGCCTCGAGCTTTAATATAAAGAGACGCTCTAAATGTACGTGCAGTTTTAGTGAAATGAAAGGATAATTGCACTCTGTTTCAGTCGCAATTATTTAATCTTCCTGATCATTATTTAACCTTCCTGATCATTATTTAATCTTCCTGATCATTATTTAACCTTCCTGATCATTATTTAATCTTCCTGATCATTATTTAACCTTCCTGATCATTATTTAATCTTCCTGATCACTATTTAATCTTCCTAATCATTATTAAACCTTCCTGATCATTATTTAATCTTCCTGATCATTATTTAATCTTCCTGATCATTATTTAATCTTCCTGATCATTATTTAACCTTCCTGATCATTATTTAATCTTCCTGATCATTATTTAACCTTCCTGATCATTATTTAATCTTCCTGATCATTATTTAACCTTCCTGATCATTATTTAATCTTCCTGATCACTATTTAATCTTCCTAATCATTATTAAACCTTCCTGATCATTATTTAACCTTCCTGATCATTATTTAATCTTCCTGATCACTATTTAATCTTCCTAATCATTATTTAACCTTCCTGATCGCATCATTATTAGAATTTCACTTCTTATGTTTTGATCATTTTCTGTTTCATCAGTGCTATTCGATATTCGATATGTGGCGCAATACTCCCAGATGACAAATGCCATCCATGCTTTTTCGTATAAATCTTCAAATCCATTGTTCATTCGATAATTTTATTGATTGCAGTCACTTAACAACAAAAATTTCAGAGCTTATCTGCATATGTGATTTCAAGTCGGGTTTAATCCAAAAATCTTTATTGCATACAGTGAAGTGGTAGGCAGGTCTACTCATTTCATAATGGGAAGTTAGCTAATGCTGTCATTCATTGATGGATTTACTGTTGAGTTAGATTGTCAAATGTTTTGAGTGAATGGAATTTTGAATGCAAATAGAACAACTGAAACAAAATTCCAAATGTGAATCGACAAATGAAATGAATGAATTTCGTTGTTATATGACCTTATGAAATTCATGTTATTTATGCAATAATCGAGTGAACAATTTCATTTCATTAGTAGTTTAACAACAGCGATATTAATTTGCAAATTCTTTATGCATAGTATTCAGTAGCATGCAAGAAGTTACTGGCTCGTTGTGTAGGCATCGCTAGGCAATTTATAACAAAACAAATAAAAAAGTGCGAAGAATATAACACATAACAGTGAGAGAGTGTTATTTTAAAAACAAATGACAGAAGAACTGACTGATGGAAAACATAAATAATCAATAACAACGGAAATAGCAATGCAATGTATTTCTTCAAATTTAAAGTAAAAAGTAAAGCGTAAGCTTCAGTGAATCCGCATATGCAATTTCAAGCTCTGTTTAATTCAAAAATCTTTACTGAATACAATGCATAGGTTTGTTTATGACATGAGTTACCATGTGAGACTGCAAACTGTGTTTTCGGGTGTAACTTTTTCCGCATTTCGAACAACTGTACGGCTTCTCACCGGTATGAGTCATCATATGGCTTTTCATGTTACCGGACACAATGAAACTTTTTCCGCATCTCGGACAACTGTACGGTTTTTCACCGGTATGAATCATCATATGTTTTTTCATACTTTGGGAGTGAGTGAAATTCTGTTTGCATATCGAACAACTGTACGGTTTTTCACCGGTATGAATCATCATATGTTTTTTCATACTTTGGGACTGACTGAAATTCTGTTTGCATATCGAACAACAGTACGGCTTTTCACCGGCATGAGTCATCATATGTTTCTTCATATTCGAGTAATCATTGAAAATTTTTTTGCATGTCGAACAACTGTACGGCTTTTCACCGGTATGAGTCATCATATGTCCTTTCACATGCGAAGAGCGACTAAATTTCTTTTTGCATATTGAACAACTGTACGGCTTCTCACCGGTATGAGTCATCATATGTTCTTTTATTTTTGCCACTTCCTTTCGACATATGTCACAACGCTGCTTTTTTATCGTCCTTTTTTCTTGCCTTGATAGCTCGATCACTTCCACCGGTGTTTCGATTGGAACGAATTGTCGCCGAAGTTTAATTCGTTCATCACTCACTCCCTCCACTGATAAGCCTTGCGACTTATTTCCTTCCTGTTTCACTTTTGGAACCGGTGAATTTAGGGGTTTTATTTGAAGCATTTGCAAACCAACCTCTCCTTCATCTTTTCTTTCCACTGATAAGCATTGTGATCCATCTCCATCATCTCTCACTTTTGATATTGATAAATCCAACGGTTCTGTCTGATCCGTTTGCGCTGTCTCAAATCATATGAAATTAAATCACACTATGCAAGATTACAAGTCTTCAAGATATTGAACGATATGTTATATTTTGTTAACTTTAAGTGGACTTACGGTAGTTTGAACATTGCTCAATTGGAAGACGAAAAACAAATAGATGAAATGCATGTCCATGAAAATAATTTCTTGTAAATTCTGAAAAGCATTCAAATGCTCATTGATAAATGAGCAAAGGGTTTCTCCAAGAAATGTTTTTTTTTTTTTAATTATATTAGATTATTTACAAATTTATCATCAATTCCGAAAATCTTCCTTATAATTCAAAAATTTGAAAAGAGGTTACATCCTCTTTCGAAATAAATAAAGCAAAACTTACTGAATGGAATTTGTAGAAGGAAGTCTGACAGAGATCAGCCGATCAATTCTGTTAATTATGGTTGGAGAATTGTATGTATAAATGCTTATTCAAATGGGAGTGGCAAACTACGTGTACTGATAATATAGAATATAAAATATTTGCGCATAATAATACGAAATAGCAATCATTGTTTAATCCTTTACATCAAATTATTTCATTTCAAATGCTACATTGCATTGTTGAAAATAATTTTATGCAAAGCAGTTGTGACATTTTTTGTAATTTTATTTCATTTCGCTTCGATTTTTCCATGCATCCAAGTCTTTTGGATTATTAACGAAAGGAGAAAATTACATTGCTGCATCTCTTATAATTGATAATATTAATTTATAAATGATAAATGATTTCACCAAATCTTTCGTTTGGATTTTAAATTTTCAAATTTTCTTTGTATCAATAATCATATCTAATATGATTTGCTGAAGTTAGCTGTCAAACGAGTACCAATTGATAATTCCTAATACTTATGAACCTTTTAAATGCCAATCATAATGAAACTGAAAAGGAAAAAAAGACGGTGGTAAAGTTCTATCAATTACTGCATTGTGTCTGATTAGCATCACTTGAAATGCTGAACCGGAAGTTATCAGTTCGCCATCCATGGCTATGTAGCTAATAGAGATGCCTAATGGCTCCAAGCAACAAGCTCGGACTGGAACTATCTGCAATTCCACACCGTTAAATTTAAGGGCAGGCTTCATTTTGTTCTTATAAACAAGAATCTAATTTGTACATGTTTGCATAAGTCCTCGTGGCTTTCTTTAATTGAATTTTAAACAGATTCAAATAACAGGCAAAAAAGAATAAGTTGTCGCGGATTTTAATATCGCGATCTAAAAATATGAGTTGCAAATTGTAGTAAAGATATCTACGTAATTTCCGCAAATAATGCTTATACTTCGGACTCTTTGTTTCCAAATTTATGCTTCTACATATTGAAACAATTTACATCGTTCTTTGTTAGCAATCCTTACAATCATGAGGATATCTACATTGTTCTTTGTTAGCTATCATAATCATGCGGTTATCTAATAAGCTCTTTATTAGCAACTGGTGCCCATGCAAGCACCTCCTCTCCTTTGTTTCGATCATTGTCTAACATCAATGTAGATTTATAACCATACTATTGTCAATTAGATCAGTTTTTAAATCATCCAATCCTCCGAATCAGTTTATTCAATTGTTGCCCAGATATTTAGCTGGCATCCAACACATCTCCCTGACATCAAACTTCTCCCCCGAATAACAATTTAACCAAATCATAAAGGTTTGTTTCCAAAAACATTTTTTTGCTTCCACTACAATTTTGGTGCCACGAGCCGGGACATGTCCGACAGTATAAGAAAAGGAAGCGAATTATCGAAGTCGAGAACTCTAGAACTTCTTAAAGAAGCAAGTGAACTCGATCTGACCTCCCCGTCTCAAACACTATCACGAGGGGAACTTCAGCATCAATACGAAATTAAATTGCGAATCGTCAAGGAGAAGATCGCACATCTCGAATATTATGCTGGGTTACTCGAAACAGCTAATCAAAATTGGCTGGATAATATTCAGAGCTTGACAATAGCAACGAGGAGAAAGGAAGAGGAGACGAAATACGCCAATATGGTTGACGATCCACAAGGTATTTTAAGTTTAATCACTAGAACAAGAGAAACTATTATTACCCTTAAAATACATACTGATGAATATTGCTCGGTACTACAACATTTAAAACAAGAAGAGGTCAAAGAATCATTTCCAAAGAATAGTATGATTCACACAAATCAAGCAGAAATAAAACTTCCTCAATTACCACTAATAACGTTTAGTGGGGATCCAAAATTGTGGAGGCAATTTTGGTGTAGTTTCAAGGCAGCAGTCCATGAGCAAAGCATCCCAGATATTCAAAAGTTAAACTATCTGATATCATGTCTTAAAGGAGATGCTTTGTTATCTGTAAGAGGTTATGATATAGCGCCAGAAAACTACGATGTTATAATAGGTTTACTAAAAGAGAAATATGGTAAACCTTTCCTCATAAAGAAATCACTCTACAACGAGTTGAATACCATCAAAAAAAATGACCGAGAGTGGAAAGCAACCATAGAAGCCATGGAGAGAACATTTCGACAACTGGAAGCTATAGGTGAAAATTTAGAGCATTCAAGCATCGAAATTACAATTGAAAATAAACTACCAGCGTGGATAATTGATAAATTATACCAATTGAAAGAGGATTCGACGAGTTGGTCAGTTAAGGATATCCGGCAGTACCTGACAAAACTAGTTCTAAGAAATGAAGAAGTTGCTAGAAGTCAAGCAGACACAAGGGAGAAGAAAACAAACAAAAATAATGTTAGAGGCGAAACGTCAGCTTTCGCCACAATCAACCAAACAAAGGGAGATAATACAATCAAATCAAAAAAGGTTCCAGGAAAAATTCCTATAAATGGGAAAAGGAAACCATGCGTATTTTGCAATAAGGACCACTGGAACAATGAATGTAACATCTATCCCACTCTCAAACTCCGGATGGAACGTTTGAGAGAAATCACTGCATGTTTCAAATGTTTACGAAAAGGACATGCAACAAGTGATTGTAAAAAAGGGAAACCTTTGTGTTTCCATTGTAAAAGTCCACACAATACAGCACTGTGTCCCAACAACTACAAGGAACTCACGCAAGCAGTGGATTCCAACAAAGAAAGATTGGGTTCAGTCACAATCGCTAACTCCATTACCGAAAAAGGAAATCAATGGAAAAAGCGAACCTTACTGTTATGTAAGGAAATAAATGTAACCAATCCAAATCGCCCAAAAATCCAACAAAAGGCTTTAATTCTATTCGATATTGGTTCTCAATTATCGTTCATATCAAAGGATTTGGCTTATCGATTGAATCTACAAGAAACTAACGAGATGGAAATAAAAATTGCTTCATTTGGTGATAAGACGCCAAAAACGTGTATCACTACTAAAACTGAAATCGGAGTAAAAATTGGAAATAAAGAAATAATCCGATTAGATGTAATAACAGTTAACCACTTGACGAATGAATTGCAAGTAGTTAATCTAAACAAAAAGGAATTGTTGATGATAGACAAACGAAATCAGTTTAGTAATTTCAAAAACAAATGGAAACAACCGGACATACTCATAGGTGCGGATCACTTCTTCAAGTTTATCCAGTTTGACCAAGCAGAGAACTTAAAATCAGGATTTTCATTGATCCATACAAAGGTTGGACCTATAATAGCTGGAAGTGGGTATATAAATGAAATACACGACAGTATTTCAGAAACCACATCAGTAAGTCCGATTTCTCAAGTCAATGCCGTCAATATTCCAGACTTAGATCACTTTTGGAAACTGGAATTAATGGGTATACAAGACAAAATAAACTCTGACAATGATGAAAAAGCATTGCAGCAATTTAAACAAACTATCACTAGGGACAAGGGAAGATATCAAGTTTGTTGGCCTTGGAAAGATTCAAAGAACAAACTAAGCGATAATTTCGGACTTTGCCTTGGAAGATTAAAGTCGTTAATTAGGAGGCTTCAAATGAAACCTCAATTACTAAGTCGATACAATCAAACTATTGAAGAACAACTCAATTCCAATATAATTGAGAAAGTGTCATCGGAAATGAATGAAGTTGGTATTATTCATTATCTGCCTCATCACGAAGTGATAACACCAAATAAAACCACGACAAATCTGAGGATAGTTTATGATGCATCAGCTCATTGTAAAGGAATGAAAAGTTTAAATGATGTTTTATATCGGGGACCAATAACACTCCCTGATTTGGTTGGAGTTTTGCTACGTTTCCGTACAATGAAAAATGTAATAATAGCAGACGTAGAAAAGGCGTTCTTGCAAATAGAATTGCATCCAACAGATAGAAACTGCACTCGATTTCTTTGGTTGAAAGACATTCGAAGTCCAGTTAACGAAGAAAACGTAAGTTGTTACCGTTTCCAACGAGTTCCATTTGGAATTGTATCATCTCCATTTTTATTGTCCGCTACACTCAATTATCATTTGGAAACTTGTAAAAGCAAAATCGCACTCGAGTTAAGGAAAAATCTCTATGTCGATAACATTATAATACCAACCAAAGGAACCAACGAAGCTCTTTCCAATTATAAGGAAATTAAAATTATATTCAATGAAGCATCAATGAATGTACGGGAATTTCTCTCTAACGATCAAGAAGTCAATGAAAAACTTCCGGTACAAGATCGAGCAGAGGTAAGTTCAATTAAAAAAATTCTAGGTCTCAATTGGTACCACAAACAAGATATCATTCAAGTAACGTTAAAACCATGGTTTGGTAAGAAATTAACTAAAAGAATTATATTGCAATTCGTAGCCTCACAATATGACCCACTAGGATTCATAGTTCCTATACTGATAAGATTCAAATTGTTTCTCCAAACTTTGTGGAAAAAGAACCTTTCATGGGATCAAACTATAAGTGAGGAAGATGAAACCACGTGGAAATTACTCACGAACGAATGGCCAAAGAAACTAAAGGATCTACCAAGATTCACAACAAATTGTTCCAAGCAAGTACAATTTCATGTTTTTACTGACGCATCAACTGCTGCATACTCAGCAGCTTTATACATTCGAACTCAAGAAAGAGAAGTATTCTTAGTGTTTGCTAAATCCCGAATTGCGCCAATTAAAGGAATGTCAATACCTCGATTAGAATTACTGGCAATACTCATCGGAGTGAGAATGGTACAATTCGTATTAAAACAAAAAGAGCTTGAGGACGTGATAACAATTTTATGGTCCGATTCTCAATGTGCGCTTCATTGGGTTCACAATAGTTCCCGTTTACTACCAACGTTCATACAAAATAGGGTAGAAGAAATACGAAAGGCGAAAATCCATTTTAGATATATCCCAAGTGAACAAAACCCAGCTGATATAGCTACAAAAGGAATCTCTCCGAATAAACTAAAAGGATATGATCTTTGGTGGAAAGGACCAAAGTGGTTAACAGAAAACGAATCAAAATGGCCACAGTGGAAATACAATTACAATGAGGATTACCAGGATGAAGAAATTGTGGCCCACATCACAGAACCAATTATCATAAACAAACATTTCGGAATCTTAGATGCTAGTCGTTTTAGCAAATGGTCAAGATTAATAAGAACAACTGGTTGGGTTCTGAAATTCATAAGATTAACAATGAAAAGGGAAATTCCTTGGCTAAAGATGGCAACGAAAGAAAAGAATATATTGACAACACAGGATTACGAGTTGTCAGAAATTGTGCTATTCAAACAAGCACAGTCAGAAGGAGTTACCAAAGATGAAATAATCAAATGGAATTTGTTCTATGATAACGAACTATGGAGATACAAAAGCCGCGTAGTTAACTCTGAAATGAAAGAGAGTAACTTACACCCAATATATCTCCCGAGACACAACACCATAACTGAACTCTTTATTCAGCAACGACATGAACAACTGTATCATGCTGGAATTGCTCATACACTCTCAAATCTGAGATCGACGATATGGATCCCAAAAGGTAGAACGGAAGTCAAACGAATCTTGAATAAGTGCATGAAGTGCAGACGCTGGACAACTAAACCATTCAAATTACCAACTATGGCTGATCTTCCAGCATCTCGGACCACAAGATCAAGACCCTTTGCGCGAGTAGGACTAGACTATTTAGGTCCTGTGAATATCAGGAGTGATAATGGGCTAACAAAAAGATGGGTAGCACTATTCACATGTTTCACAACAAGAGCTGTACATCTAGAAGTAGTAGAAACTCTTTCAGCCGAAAGCTTTTTACATGTTTTCAGAAGATTTACAGCAAGACGAGGCTTTCCAGAATTAATCTTAAGCGACAACGCTGGTCAATTCCAGTTAATTTTTAAAATCATTGTGAAACAACAATTAAATGAATTCCTAGCGGAAAGGAAAATGATCTGGAAAAATATAATACCAAAGGCGCCTTGGAACGGAGGAGTATATGAGCGACTTATTGGGTTAACAAAAAGGGCAATGAAAAGAGCCATCGGCAGAAAGTTATTATGGGAACGGGAATTGATTACGCTAGTAGCGGAAGTGGAAAGTATTTTGAATACTCGACCACTAACTTACGTAAATTTTGATGATTGTATCATATTGCGTCCAGTTGACTTTATACTACCGAATGCGCATCTAATCATGCCTGCTAAAAACAAGAATGAAATGGATGATTTTATCCCTCATAAATTGGATTCGAGAGAAAAACTCATTCAATACTGGTCAAATACACTAAAGGCCCTCGATGCCTTCTGGGAAATATGGAAAGAGGAATATTTAAATACTCTTAAAGAAAGAGCACAAAGGGAACACTCTTCTCCGAGAGATGTAGTAAAAAGAACTCCCCACGAGGGAGAGATTGTGTTACTAAATGAACCAGAAATTCCCCGTGGCATGTGGAAACTAGCCAGAATAAGAGAAATCAAAACAGGAAAGGATGGAGAAGTGAGAAGTGTCTCGATAGAATTACCGAAAGGAAAAATACTCAACAGACCGGTGAATATGTTATACCCACTGGAAGTCAAAGGTGAGGAAATTGACCCTCAACCAACAATGTTTAACAAATCAGTGCAAAATGTCAATGAACAAGAACCAATTGCTCTACGAACTAGAAGCGCTATAAGGCGAAGCAATCAACCAAAGCTGTCCAACGAACTAAAGCATTTAGCTCCTTCGGTCGGGAGTGTCGCGGATTTTAATATCGCGATCTAAAAATATGAGTTGCAAATTGTAGTAAAGATATCTACGTAATTTCCGCAAATAATGCTTATACTTCGGACTCTTTGTTTCCAAATTTATGCTTCTACATATTGAAACAATTTACATCGTTCTTTGTTAGCAATCCTTACAATCATGAGGATATCTACATTGTTCTTTGTTAGCTATCATAATCATGCGGTTATCTAATAAGCTCTTTATTAGCAACTGGTGCCCATGCAAGCACCTCCTCTCCTTTGTTTCGATCATTGTCTAACATCAATGTAGATTTATAACCATACTATTGTCAATTAGATCAGTTTTTAAATCATCCAATCCTCCGAATCAGTTTATTCAATTGTTGCCCAGATATTTAGCTGGCATCCAACACATCTCCCTGACATCAAACTTCTCCCCCGAATAACAATTTAACCAAATCATAAAGGTTTGTTTCCAAAAACATTTTTTTGCTTCCACTACATAAGTCAAATGTGAACAGTAGTTTATTCCAAGTATCAGCCGTGATTTAACATTGTTCCAATCGATATATGTTAAATACAGGAAGTTATCATCCATCATCCAAACATGGAAGATAAAGGTTCGTCTTTCATCCTCTTTCTTCGACATATAAGGAAAGTTTCTTTACAGATTCAAATAACGAACTATTCGCTATCAATGACTAAATAAGTTAATGACTTAAAATGATATTTCATTCCATCAACTAAACAGACGATTTAGCAAAAAAAGAATGAATTAATCCAACCATCACTTAATGCCTAATAAGCAAACATTTAAGATACTTAAAATCTATTCCAAAACAAAAAAAAAAAAAACAAAAAAACAAAAAGACGATGAAAAAGCTCATTTCGGAATGGATGAAACTGGAGAGGTGAGGGAAAAACTTACTCAAATGAGAAAGGTTTGTCGGACAAACTTAAACGAAAGTTTGTCATTATTACTACATCTCTTGAACTGCTTATTCTACACTCATACAAGCTTTTCAATTTCTTGTTTGCTCCTGACATCAACAACCTCTCAAAAAAAAATCTCACGTAGTTGTAACTGACTTTTCAAAGAAGAGATTAACAATGAAATTCCATTTGTTTGATAGATTTGGCATTGCTGGCATTTTAAATATTTTAACATTCCAACGCGTTTCATCTGCTTAACGAACAAATGTGCTATCTTGAATTAAGTGATGATTTGCGTACAAATTGCTAATTTATATCAAAATTTTATAGTTAAATATGTCAGTGCATTAAACGGTCGAATATGAATTGGTTGGTCTTTATATTAATGCATTTGTTACAAAATATACTTAACTGCATGGTAGTACAACTTACCTTTTTCATGTTGATTTAATTCTTTTGGTATGGCTGTTTGTTTTAATTAATTTTGACGGAAATTTAGAAGCAAATAAGGAAATGTTTGAAATTTTTATATCAATTAGTCCTTAAGACACTCGTAAATCATAGAAATTGGAATAAATAAAGTGATTAAATTAAAAAGATTAAATCAAATGAAATACATGCTGCGTTGTGATTTCTTGACAGGTGTAGTTAATACTATTTCAATAAAGAAAATAAATATTATTTCAATAAAGAAAATAGTAAGTAATATGCTAAAAAAATTTTTGCGACATGTGTTGACATATTTGATCGAAGTGGAATGGTTTTAAGAACATTTCAGTTAACACGAATAGTGAGATAAGATATATTGGTTACCGATTAACACAAATAGCATGATATGATATATTGATTACTTTTTTAATATTTAGTGCCGTTAAAAAAAAATATACTGATATGAATTTGATAAAATATTTGTTGTAGATCACATAATTATATAACTTCATGAAATGATATGCTCTGATTAAGAAGATTCTTTGCTTTTCCAAAAGTTTATTTCATATTATTCATGCAATAACTGAGTAAGAAATACATACGAGCAATATCATTTTATTAGTAATTTAACACCAACGACAATTATTTGCAACTCCTTCGTGCATAGCACGCAAGGTTACATGCAAATGAAATTCGCGGATGAATTTAATACTGAGAAATGCATTGCACGGGTAACAAAGATGACAAAAGAGTGAAGAATATGACTCTAATATGCACATAAGATCAAAGATACAAATAATAATTTATCAATAAAAAAAGGAATAAGTAACAAAGAATTTGACCAACAGAAAATATAAATTTCTTCTCTTCAAAGTGCGAAAGCTTTAATGTTTCTTCATGTGTAATTTCAAGCCTAGTTTACTCTGAAGGTCTTTACTGCACATAGTGCAGTGGTAGACTGGTCTACTATTCATGCCATGAACTGCCGTGTGAATGTGCAAATCGCTCTTTCGTACGTAACCTTTCCCGCATACTGGACAACTGTGAGGCTTCTCACCGGTATGAATCATCATATGTGTTTTCATATTACTGGGATCATTGAAATTCTTTTTGCATATCCGACAACTGTACGGCTTCTCACCGGTATGGGTAATCATATGCTTTTTCATATTATGCAAGTAAGCGAAATTTTTGTAGCATATCGGACAACTGTACGGCTTCTCTCCAGTATGAGTCATCATATGTGTTTTCATGTATGTTACTTCCTTTCCACATATATCACAACGTTGCTTCTTTCTCCTCTCTTTTTGCTTTGATAGTTCGATCTCTTCCATCAGTGTTTCGATTGGAACGAGCCGTAACAGCGGTTTAATTCCTTCATCACTCACTCCATCCACTGATAAGCCTTGCGATTTATTCCCTTCCTTTTTCAGTTTTGGAGCCGATAAATCCAGAGTTTTTGTTTGAAGCACTTGCAAACCAATCCTTTCCTCATCCTCTCCGCCCATTGATAAGCCTTGTGATCCATGTCCGTCATCTCTCACTTTTGATATTGATAAATCCAACGGTTCTGTTTGGTCCGTTTGCGCTGCCTCAAATGATATGGAATTATACTGTGTAAAATTTTAAAATTTCAAGGTATTGCAGCGTTGTTGTATTTCTCAAACTTTAAGTGGACTTACAGTGGTTTGAATATTGATCAATTGGAAGAAGAAGCAGAAGTAATAGATGAAATGCATGCCAATGAGAATAATTTCTTGCCAATTCTGAAAAAACATTCAAATTTACTGGACGGTGCTCACAAGAAATATCACCGCTGTGTTGACAAATGCGCAAAGTAAAAATGTCTTAGAGTAAATACTTTTCTAAGTATAATGGATTATTTACAAATTAATCATTGAAATTTTCGAAAAAGACAACATCCTCTGTCGAAATAAATGAAATAGAACTTACTGAATGAAATTTGTTGAAGAGAATTTGACAGAGACCACACGATCACTTCTGTTAGGTATTATTCGAGAATTGTATGTATAAATGCTCATTCAAATGGGAGTGGCAAACTACGTATATTGATGAACTTATGTCCACGTATAATAATATAAGTAATAAGAGAATTTATATTAGTATAACAAAAACAGTCAGTGTTTAATCCTTTGCATTGAATTGTTTCATTTTAGTTGCTATATTACATTGTTGGAAATAATTTATGCAAAGCAGTTGCAACGTTTTTTGCGCAATTTTATTTCGTTTCGATTCAATTTTTATAAATTTTCAAATCTTTGCAATATTGGTTAGAAGGGAAAATACATAATTACATCGCTTGCAATTGTTATAGATGATTTACATACGCTAAATGACTTCATCTAATATTTCGTTTGAACGACGTCTGTAAATTTTCTGATGCTTTATTTTAAATTTCCTAAAAAAAATTTTAATTTTCAAAAAATCAAAAAATTTAAGCGAGGATATATGTATAGTTTAATAGGTTATATTAATATTAAATTTTGTTAATCGATCATTTGCTATAAATTGAAAAGCCTTTCGCAGCCGTAACAATAAAAAGACATTCATAATATTCTCCTTGTCAGTTTGAAATGATCATTGTGATCTATTTTAGACAAACCTAAAAAGTGAAGAATAAAAGTATGACTGAACACTTGACAGAGATGTAACCGATAATGTGACTTTGCCGTTTTACGTTATATTAAAAGACAGTAATTTTTAAATGGATTTCTCGTAAATATGATGGCGAACGCAATGCGTTTCATCCGCTTAACGAACAAATGCGCTATCTTGAATTAAGTGATAATTTGCGTACAAATTGCTAATTTATATCAAAATTTTATAGTTAAATATGTCAGTGCATTAAACGGTCGAATATGAATTGGTTGTTCTTTATATTAATGCATTTGTTACAAAATATACTTAACTGCATACTATGGTAGTACAACTTTCCTTTTTTATATATATTTAATTTTTTTGGTATGGCTGTTTGTTTTAATTAATTTTGACAGAAATTTAGAAGCAAATAAAGAAATCACAATGTTTGAAATTTTTATATCAATTAGTCCTTAAAAAAATTCGATACATTGAGTTGTTATAGGTTGTTTTTTAATAAAATGTCAAGGTTGTTTGACACTTAAAATTCCAGCATGTAAAAAAGTAAATCATAGAAATTGGAATAAATAATGTGATTAAATTAAAAAGATTAAATCAAATGAAATACATGCTGCGTTGTGATTTCTTTACAAATGCAATGAGTATCATCTCAATAAATATGCTGAAAAACTTTTACGACATTTGCTAACATAATTGATGGAAGTGAGAGTTAATTGCTTTAAGAATATTTCAATCGACACAAACAGCTGGATAGGTATTTTTACCATTATCCAAACTTCAAAAATATAAAAAAATTCTGAGTGCGTATCTAATCAAGAAATTAAAAAATGTCATGTAAAAATTTTAAATTAAATCAAATTCATAAATCTCTTCCTGATTTTCACCTGTAATACTTTATTGATTACAATTAGTCACTCACTGATATAAATTTGACGCATTGTTGTAGATCGCATAATTATATAACTTTATGAAATGATATGTAGTAATTAAGAAGATTCTTTTCCAAAAGTTTATTTCATATTATTCATGCAATAATTGAGTAAGAAATACATACGTGCAATTTCATTTTATTAGTAATTTAACACCAACGACAATTATTTGCAACTCCTTCGTGCATAGCATGCAAGGTTACATGCAAATGAAATTCGCGGATGAATTTAATACTGAGAAATGCATTGCACGGGTAACAAAGATGACAAAAGAGTGAAGAATATGACTCTAATATGCACATAAGATCAAAGATACCAATAATAATTTATCAACAAAAAAAGGAATAAGTAACAAAGAATTTGACCAACAGAAAATATAAATTTCTTCTCTTCAAAGTGCGAAAGCTTTAATGTTTCTTCATGTGTAATTTCAAGCCTAGTTTTCTCTGAAAGTCTTTATTGCAAATAGTGCAGTGGTAGACTGGTCTACTATTCATGCCATGAATTGCCGTGTGAATGTGCAAATCGCTCTTTCGTACGTAACTTTTCCCGCATACTGGACAACTGTGAGGCTTCTCACCGGTATGAGTTATCATATGACCTTTCACATGCGAAGAGCGACTGAAATTCTTTTTGCATATCGGACAACTGTACGACTTCTCTCCAGTATGAGTTATCATATGTCCTTTCACATGCGAAGAGCGACTGAAATTCTTTTTGCATATCGGACAACTGTACGGCTTCTCTCCAGTATGAGTCATCATATGCTTTTTCATATTCGAGAAATTATTGAAAAATTTTTTGCAAGTCGGACAACTGTACGGCTTTTCACCGGTATGAGTTATCATATGTCCTTTCATATGCGCAGGGAGACTAAAATTCTTTTTGCATATTGAACAACTGTACGGCTTTTGACCGGTATGAATCATCATGTGTGCTTTCATACTTTGGGACTGAGTAAAATTCTTTTTACATATCGGACAACTGTACGGCTTCTCTCCAGTATGAGTCATCATATGTGTTTTCATGTATGTTACTTCCTTTCGACATATATCACAACGTTGCTTCTTTCTCCTCTCTTTTTGCTTTGATAGTTCGATCTCTTCCATCAGTGATTCGATTGGAACGAGCCGTAACAGCGGTTTAATTCCTTCATCACTCACTGCCTCCATTGATAAGCCTTGTGATCCATCTCCTTTCTCCTTCACTTTTGATATTGATAAATCCAACGGTTCTGTTTGGTCCGTTTGCGCTGCCTCAAATGATATGGAATTACACTGTGTAAAATTTTAAAATTTCAAGGTATTGCAGCGTTGTTGTATTTCTCAAACTTTAAGTGGACTTACAGTGGTTTGAATAGTGATCAACTGGAAGAAGAAGCAGAAGAAATAGATGAAATGCATGTCAATGAGAATAATTTGTTGCCAATTCTGAAAAAACATTCAAATTTACTGGACGGTGCTCACCGCTGCTGTTTGACAAATGCGCAAAGTAGAAATGTTTTTCTAAATATAATGGATTATTTACAAATTAATCATTGAGTTCCGAAATCTTTCTCATAACTCGAAACTTCCGAAAAAGATAACATCCTCTGTCGAAATAAATGAAATAATAAATAAAAACTTACTGAATGAAATTTGTTGAAGATTATTGGAGAATTGTATATATAAATGCTCATTCAGATGGGAGTGGCAAACTACGTATATTGATGAACTTATGTCCACGTATAATAATATAAGTAATAATAGAATTTATATTAGTATAATAAAAACAGTCAGTGTTTAATCCTTTGCATTGAATTGTTTCATTTTAGTTGCTATATTTTAGTTGCTACATTGTTGGAAATAATTTATGCAAAGCAGTTGCAACGTTTTTTGCACAATTTTATTTCGTTTCGATTCAATTTTTATAAATTTTCAAATCTTTGCAATATTGGTTAGAAGGGAAAATACATAATTACATTGCTTGCAATTGATATAGATAATTTGCGCATGCTAAATGACTTCATCTAATATTTCGTTTGAACGACGTCTGTAAATTTTCAGATTTGCTTTGTTTTAAATTTCAAATTTTTTAAAAAAAATTTTTATTTCCAAAAAATCGGAAAATTTGAAAAATCTTGTATTATTTCAGAAAAAAGATTGCAATTATTGTCATTGAAAATTTCATGCCTTACTATAGTTATATGTGCCTACAAAGTGTTTATTGAATGTAAGAAAAGATGAACAACGACTGAGGAACTATCCACTTTCTTCTAGAATTTTTCGTTGTAGAGTCACTCTTACATGTTTATCTCAAATTAAACTTTAGCCACTTCATATATCCATAGAAGCCCAAGAAGAAAAATTACACGGCAAGAAAATTTACAACTTTAATTCAAATTTGATTTATCTTTCCACAAATTAGCATATCGCATAATAATTCTCAGAGATGGGCTGTTCCTGTTTAGTTGACAGATGATAAAAGCTATCTCAATGACATATTTTAACACTCTGATGTTACAATTATGCAATATTTCCCCTATCGTATTCGCCTAGACCACTTTTTCTTGTCAGTTAAGAAAATTTAATTAATAATTTCATCTAATCTTTTCCTCAAAAGCAATTAATGAATGCATAAATCGCTGTACCGATGAAATTAACTGAAATTTTGGAAGTAAAGCTTGTCACCACAGCATCAAGTAAGTTTACTTTCTAGAAAAACATTTACAAAAACCAACCACTTCATATTCTACCGCTTGTTGCAATGATATTTTTAACAACAAAACTTTGATTTAAAGAAATTTTAGTGTGTTCTAGCATAACATAAGACGGCAATTTACTTTATCACTGATATCTCTCCGTTAACTTTTTGCATTCAGTTAATATTATTCAATAAATACTGAAACGATTTGGATCAGTCCAACATCTAATGCCGGTTTACTCAGTGAAATTCTGGTGCCGGTTCAATCAGTGCAGTTTAATGATAGCTAAAAGGACGCGCACTGTTTTAACACTACGATTCTATTCCAATGTTAGTTAATATGATGAAGGTCAAATAGTTGTAAAGATGGTATATTTTCACTATTGTATTGTTTACTTTCTTGCATACTTATTTTCACGTGTTTATGCAGATGTTTCACATATTTAGATAGGAATATATCCATCTCATCATTACCATCTATTTTAGACTAACCTAAAAAGTGACGGAGTATAAGGATGACCGAATGCTTGACAGAGATGTAGCTGATAATGTGATAGCGAACGCAACGCGTTTCATCCGCTTAACGAACAAATGCGCTAATTTGAATTAAACGATGATTTGCATAAAAATTGCTAATTCAAATCAAGAAAAAAAAAGTTAATACTGAGAAATGCATTGCACGGATAACAAAAGAGTGAAGAATATGACTCTAATATGCACATAAGATCAAAGATACCAATAATAATTTATCAATAAAAAAAGGAATAAGTAACAAAAATTTGACCAACAGAAAATATAAATTTCTTCTCTTCAAAGTGCGAAAGTTTTAATGTTTCTTCATGTGTAATTTCAAGCCTAGTTTACTCTGAAAGTCTTTACTGCAAATAGTGCAGTGGTAGATAGGTCTATTCATATCATGGGTTACCATGTGGATCTTCAAAATGTATTTTTCTGTGTAACTTTTCCCGCATACTATACAACTGTACGGCTTTTCACTGCTATGGATCATCATATGCCTTTTCATATTACAAGACTGAGTGAAATTCTTTTTGCACACTGGACAACTGTACGGCTTTGCACCGGTATGGATCATCATATGTTGTTTCACATGACAAGACTGAGTGAAATTCTTTTTGCATATCCGACAACTGAATGGCTTCTCACCGGTATGAGTAATCATATGCTTTTTAATATTTTGCAAGCAAGTGAAGTTCCTTTTGCATATCGGACAACTGTGCGGCTTCCCCCCAGTATGAGTCATCATATGTGTTTTCATGTATGTTACTTCCTTTCGACATATATCACAACGTTGCTTCTTTCTCCTCTCTTTTTGCTTTGATAGTTCGATCTCTTCCATCAGTGATTCGATTGGAACGAGCCGTAACAGCGGTTTAATTCCTTCATCACTCACTGCCTCCATTGATAAGCCTTGTGATCCATCTCCTTTCTCCTTCACTTTTGATATTGATAAATCCAACGGTTCTGTTTGGTCCGTTTGCGCTGCCTCAAATGATATGGAATTACACTGTGTAAAATTTTAAAATTTCAAGGTATTGCAGCGTTGTTGTATTTCTCAAACTTTAAGTGGACTTACAGTGGTTTGAATATTGATCAATTGGAAGAAGAAGCAGAAGTAATAGATGAAATGCATGCCAATGAGAATAATTTCTTGACAATTCTGAAAAAACATTCAAATTTACTGGACGGTGCTCACAAGAAATATCACCGCTGTGTTGACAAATGCGCGAAGTAAAAATATCTTAGTGTAAATGCTTTTCTAAGTATAATGGATTATTTACAAATTAATCATTGAAACTTTCGAAAAAGACAACATACTCTGTCGAAATAAATGAAATAGAACTTACTGAATGAAATTTGTTGAAGAGAATTTGACAGAGACCACAAGATCACTTCTGTTAGGTATTATTCGAGAATTGTATGTATAAATGCTCATTCAGATGGGAGTGGCAAACTACGTATATTGATGAACTTATGTCCACGTATAATAATATAAGTAATAAGAGAATTTATATTAGTATAATAAAAACAGTCAGTGTTTAATCCTTTGCATTGAATTGTTTCATTTTAGCTGCTATATTTCATTGTTGGAAATAATTTATGCAAAGCAGTTGCAACGTTTTTTGCACAATTTTATTTCGTTTCGATTCACAAATTTTCAAATCTTTGCAATATTGGTCAGACGGGAAAACTACGTAATTACATCGCTTGGAATTGATATAAATGATTTACATATGTTAACTGATTTCATCTAATATTTTTTTGAACACCATTTTTAAATTTCTTCCTTAAATTTTTCTTTGGTCAAATTCGTTCATATTTTTTTCAGACAGATTCAATGCTAATGTTCTACATTTTGCATTTATTAGATTTATATAGAAGGTTAGTTTGATTGAAATAGATTAAAATTATTGGCATTGATCAAAAGTTACATGAAATAATAATGGCTATGTAACTGCAATGAAGAAGATAAAAGAAATGAATGCGATATAGTAATATCAAATGATTCATTTCTCCTTCTGCCGGCATCCACATACTGTTTTCTTTGAAACGATCTTGATATGCATTTGTTTCGAAATTTAAAATCCCACTGCTTACTGATTATACATTTTTTTTTTTTGAAATTATTGCAAAAAATCTGTTTGATTATCTGCTTGCTAAGGACAAAACAATCAAAAATTTTATCATATAAATGAAAACCATTAATTTTTTTTCTCTCTACACTTCTTTCCTGATACATGCATTAGGAAGATATTCGCCAAAAGTTTAACACCAAAAAATTTGAATCAACTGTTAAGGTAAAATTTCATTACAAAGCTTGAATAATCTATCGTTAGTATAGAAGTGTCAAAGGCTACGTCTTTAGCCCAATATTATCCAAGAAGTTAGAAGTTAGGATGATATCATCCAAGAAGTTAGGATGATATCATCAATTATTAGGTTGTGTATTATGTATATGCTAATGAATTAAATGATGTTTAAATTAAATTAATTAAAATTTCATTCAAATGAAAGAAACACCATTTAATTCAATTTGTAAGTGAAACCATAACAATATTCATTGTTCTGATCAATTACTTTTTAAATTCTAACACTGATAAAAAGAAATTCATCGAATTCTTCATCAGTGATAACAATAGCAATGATGTGAATAACCTCAAAATATGATGTTTATTTTTTTTTCTTCATTTTCGTAATCTTAGAGTTTTTATCAAATAAGTAAAAAATATTTTTTTAAATTTTGTTATTTTAAATTGCAGTGTTCCACTGATTATTGCCGGATGCATCGACAATATTCACATTGTATGCATGAAAGTAAGGTAAAACACTGTGATTGATAATGTTGTGATCACAATATACTAAAATCGATCATATTATTAAATTATAACACCGAATGCATTCGTGATATGTGATATCTGAGGGATATTACATGAACACAGTTGAAACTCATTAATGAAATACTAATAATCAGAAAGAAATTTTGAATTTGATGACTTACCTTCTCAAAAGTTATATGATGGTATTAAAACATAATACACATATATCGGAAATATCTTTTTTCTTTTAACTCATAGTTTCTATGTCTTTAAATTGAATTTCACTAAGTTAAAAAATCCTTGTGGAACAATTTTCTATACCAATTGTCACCTAAAAGAATATGAAAAATTTCGTTTTCTTATAGAAAAATTTCCTTTTAAGTTTATAAATTTAACTTTTTCAATTATGGAACTAAGAAATATTAAATGATGATTATTCTTATGTCAGTTAAAATATTCTACAGTTTACATCAAAATGATTCTGTGAGACGAATTTAAGATGAAAAAAATTTATTAAAAAAATTTTATGCATGAATTATCATCAATTAATATTTTTTCCTCTTATCTTCCTTCGCTATACCAGCATGATTGTATTTTGTATGTCTTTCAACAAAGGGTCAAAGATCAAACATCAATGAATATTTATTTCTGTTACTAATATTATAGTAGTATAGGCATGTTATGAACAAAATGATTAAAATATATAAAAAATTTTTAGCAAATTTTTTCGTTTTTATTTTTGATCCTTTTCGGTAAATTTATTTTCCATACTTAAAGAAATGAAAAAAGACGACGGATGATTAGCTTAACAATATGTTATTATTGTATATTGAGCTAAAAATAGTTATATTAATATTTCATATGTTGAATTAAAAGTTTTAGTTATGTTTAATCATTATCATAATTTCAATTATTTTCATACTATGTTTTAATTTAATTTTTATAACATTTTTTATTTTCATTCTATCAATGCAGTTTAACGAGAAGAAAATGAAAAGATATTTTTTTTTAAAAAATAGGTAAAATATTTCTTTTTATTTATTGTAATCATTCTAAGAATTGATTGCTTATTTAACTAAAGAGTAATAATTCGATTTTTCCTTTTATATTATTCATTCATTTTCCTTTATATTATACTTTCAAGAAATTAATTTCAGATTATATATTCCAGTTACACATATATTCCATTAACACTTCTACCATCTTATATTCCTGAAATATTTCTTTTTTTTCATTTTTTAAAAAAAAAACTTTGAGATTAATTATAAATATAATATAGTTTCGCTGCATTTTCTAGATCTTTTGCATAGTTAATTGATCAGAAAGAAATAAAAATATAAAATCTTATTGTTGAATATAAAATTGATGAGTGTTATGGATTTAAATATTACTTTAAATTATATATAATTCTTATGAATGACAGTAAAATAGAGAAGTAAGAAAGAAAAAAGAAACCATTTTAACACCGTTATCAGATTTGACGATAAATTTTTCCTCATCATTACATCAATTAATTCATCTCATTCCTTGTCTTATCTTACTATCATTTATCATTTACTAGCATTTTACATTACTATATAAAATAAATATGGTTGAAAAACAAAAATTTGACATTTTCGCAACAAAGGAAAAGATCGAAATAAAAAATAATAATCAAAAAAAAAAAAAAAAAATAAATAAATAAAATAAATACTTTACACATATATAAGAGCCATACTGCCACAAATGAAAAAAAATTTTTACAAAAAAAAAAAAAAAAATACAAAAGGAAAATATGTTACAATTAGATGGTAAAATTTTAAACATTTTAATTAAAAAAAAATAATCTTGAATTTGAAAAAAACAAAAACAAAACATATATATATGTAATTTTAAAATAAAATTAAAAAAAAGAGAATATGTTTCATGCATTAATTTGGCACAAAAAGGCACGAATGGTGAGCCATTACAAAAATGATAAATAAAGATGGAAATTGTTACACTGATAAAAGAGAGAGAAAAAAATAAATATTGGCTGCTAAGAAATGATGCAATTAGAAAAAAAAAAAAACAATTTTAATTGTTTTAATTTTTATTACATAACACAGATTGATCAAAAAATAAATATTTTCAAGAAAAAAATCTAAAAAAAATCAATCAACTAAATTCAATGAATGGAATAAATGAATGAATAAATAAATAAATGAAAAAAAAACTGTACACAATAATCACAGATTCGCTGAAATTCGGCGTTGCATTCATTTACATTTGAAAAAAATTTAAAAAAGAAAAAAAAAACAAATAAATAAAAAGCAGAAAAGAATAAAAGAAAGATTTAAAAAAAAGAAATGAAATGGTTTAAATTTAATGAAGGAAAAAAACAGAAAAAAAAAAGAAAAGAAAATCAGACGAAATTGGAATCACTTCTTAATTTAAATACTGTTTAATTAGAATCGAATGTTATGAGTTTTGGTAAATATGGGCTAATATAGATTTTTTTTTAAATATTTTCACTTATTTATAATTTAGTATCATTGATAATGTCTGAAGAAAAACAAAAATACCAATCATTCATAACGATTAATTTTAATGAAATTAAATTTAAATTTATTTCCACTGCATAAGTAAAGAATATTATAAATTATAATTTTTTCTTTTTTTTTTTTCTTGAACAATTAAATATTTGGTAATGGATTAGAAAAAAACAGAAACCTAGAAGACCCATAAGTTTTATGTGGAAAAGAAGAACGAAGAATCTGCCTATATATAAATGAATCGATAAGTGAAATTTCAAAAAAATTTATACTAAATTAAAGACAATGAAGATATTTGAATTCAATTATGTATCAGAAATTAAAATGGAATCGTTATTTTTTTTGACTGGAATATCAAAAGTTTTAAAGAAATAAGAAACAAGTAGAAAATTTAATACATTGAAAAAAAGGACATCGCTTTTCCGCTATAAGTATGAAGTATTTAATAAAATATTATTAGGATGGAAAATTTTTCGATTTCAAAACAAATGAACAATATGTTTTCATCGTAATATTAAATTGTATAAAAATTTAAATTAGCCGAGTCAATTTGATTTTGAATTAATAATAATAATAATAATAAAAGGGAAAATTATTGAATTTGAAATGGAAAAATGTTACCTGAAAGAAAAAAAATATTTTTATAAATTTTTATCAAACAAATATAAACACAAATAATATTAATAATTTTAGTATACATCAATCATTTTAAGAAAAAAAGAAAAATAAATAAATAATTTTAAAAATTTTCGTCCTTTTTTTCTTTTGTTGCTCATAACTGAATGATATTTTTTCTTAATTCATTCATTGTTTATTGTATATCGCTCTCAGTGGCGTATTTCATTCGATCGCCACCACCTATAATTTTAATTTCAAAAAATTTTCATATTATGTAAAATTTTTTTTATATTCCAGTTTCAAATGTTTTATTTTATTTCTTTTATATTTAATTTTATTTGAAATGAAAAAGAAAAATAACAGAAAATGAATCGTTAAAATAAACGGAAATAATGATGATATAAATAAAATGTCAAAATATTAAATGAAAGAAAAAATTTTCGATATTTTTTTATTTTAAACTTTTTACCCAAAAATCTGCATACAATTTTAATAAACGAATTAATTTCAAGAAAGAAAAAAATAGGAATAATTAATTTCAAATTACCGAAATATCTTTCCTCTGGAATACGATGATTTTTTTGTGGATCTCGTTTTCCTCTTGGACAACGACAAAAATCACCACAAAATGGATGAGCAAAACCACATTCATCGGCTGTATTTGAGCAATTTGGATAATAGCTGAATTAATAAATGTTTTTTCTTTTTTTTTAAAAAAAAAAAAATGACATTAAATTAACTTTTAAAACCTAAATAATAAAATTGAAAATTATTTTAAATAGTATGAAAAAATAATAAATTAATATAAAATTTATAATTTAAATATTACTGAATTATATAAATTATTGACTGATTTTCACTTTTTTTTTCTGGTTACATCAATATATATTTGCAAGGAAATGTACGTAAAATTTGAAAAAGTTACCGGCACTGCTCACGTGGATGCCAAAAACGACATGGAAAATCGAGGCGATGCTTGGGGTTATTCCAATGGATGCACTGCGGTGCTGGCTTATTAAATTTGCCGCCACGTTCGATTACCATTTGATCCCATTGTGACATTTGGGTTGACACTGAGGTCATACTTGATGTATGTCGTTGTGGTGTTGCTACATTTGAACAATCTTTAAAAAAAAAAAGAAAAAGTTAATATAAAAAAATTTTTTTTGAAAATTTTGTTTAAATATTTCAAATTTTTTCTAAGCCTTTTTTTTCTCTCTAAATTTTGTCAGTCAAATATTTTATTTTAAAAATTTTAAAATATCATTTGCCTTTTATAGGATTAGTTGATGGTTTATTGTTATTGTTGTTCAATGGTTTAATACCCTTTACAACAGCTGAATAACATAGTGGACTTCCGGATTCCGTATTTGGTAATGGTGGATATTCATTTACATATTCTGCTATATTGTAATTCTAAAAATAAATTAATGATTTTTAGAAAAAAATTTTTGAAAAATGAAGAATTGTAAAAATTGATAAAATATTTTAACTTAATGTAAAATTTATGATGAAAAAAATAATTGGAAAAATATAAAATCCTGTTTTTTTGTTTTTGTTTTTTTTTTTTTATAAAATTCCAAAAATAACTTTAAGTATGATTTTTTTTTTTTTTTTTGACATGTAGTAAAAACGAGAAAAAAACAGAGAATTTTTGTTCAAAGATAAATGAAAACATTTAAATCTAATTTTAATTGCTAGAAATCATCAGAACATGAAATACATACTGCTGCTCCATCATATGATGAATGATTCATCGCCATATTCGTATTTTCATTTAAACTTTTGTTACACTCCATTTCCCAGCTATTTCTATTATCTATAAATCATAATACTGCCAGATAAATCAATCATTGAAAAACAGCTTAAATAAGTTTTATAAGTTAAACAAGTTGGAGAAGTATTTAAAATAAACACAAATTTGTTTTAATTTGCTGTTAAACTAATTTATTTTGTTTTAAATAAAAATTAAACAGTGCAACTTTTATCCCTAAAATTATCAAACATTTTTGCAATACAATTGGAAAAAAATTTTTTAAAAAATTTACGAAAATTTTCAAAGATATTTTTTCAAATTTATTTACCATTTTGATTGACTGCACAAACAGCATCCTCTTCAACACCATAGTCATCTTCATCTTCAGTAAATACTTCAATTTTAACCTCTTTATGACTTTTTGAATCATCCTCTAGTTCTTTATTCTATAAACAACAATAATAAAATTACCAATTCACTAATCAATAATTCAGAATTTGAAATTTCAATCCTCCTTAGGCTAGTAACATGCTTTTGTGTAATCATATATTTGTGCTTGCTATTCTCATAAACTTTTCCATAATTAATTTTCTACCACATCAATATATCATCTCTTCATTTCATTTCTACTTAAATTATTATAAAATGTAATAATTTTGGAAATAATTTAAACATTTTAACAAAATCTCATATTAATCCAGGGTTAAATGTCGTAAAATTACACTAACTTCTTATAGAATTATAAGTTTCAGGAATTTTTTGATTGAACTGTTACAGAATGTCATATATGTATGTAATGCAATATGAGATGTGCTAAATAATTATTTGCAAAATTCATAATTCATGGGAAAAAGTTGACCTACTTAACGTGATAAAAAACATTAACTTTTATGATTCATATAATTCGTGAAAAAAATTTAACCCAGTAAATGTGGTGTATGCATTATATGATATGTGCTAAATAGTTATTTGTAAAATTTATAATTAGTGGGAAATTTTTGGCCTATTAAACCTGATATGTGCAATAAATGATAATACCCTGAGAAAGAGTTATTTTAAAATTTATAGTCAATCGGAAAAATTTAACCTGCTAAACGTGATACATGCTATACGTAGATGTAATATTCATAGGTGTCATGTAAAATTCACAGTAATTAATTAAAATGATGAAAATATGTGGTTAAAATAAAATATGTACTTAAATAATTAAAATATATAACTGGAAATGAGCTAATAATTAAAAATTAAAATAAATAATTAAAATATATATATATTTCATACCTTATTCTGTTCATAATCAATTGTCGTATCATCCATATTGCAATTACTAACTTTGAGCTGTTGCATAACTTGTTGTTGCAGTTCGTGTCGCTCTTGCAAAAGTTGTGATGTTGTAGTAGTAGCAGCAATTTGTTCCGCTACATATGGATCGAAAGTAGCTGTAGCAGTAGCAGTAGCAGTAGTAGCAGCAGGAGTTGATGTTGTATGTTGTGGTATTGCAGTATGTGTTGTAATATTTGCTGCTGCTGCTGTTGCTGATGATGCAATATTGAATATTGTAGTGGCAGCTGCTGAAGCTGCAGCTGCAGCCGTATCAACATGTGCAATAGCAGCAGAAGTAATATCTAAGCGAAATGGAAAAGTCAACTGTTGTATAAAATTTAATGGTAGCATCACTGAATACGGTACAGCTACTGGTTGTGGTATTGCAGCATTGAAGCTATTACCGATTGTTGCTTCCAGTGTTCCTATATCTGTTGGAGTGTTCGGATACTGTATGTTGGGCCTAAAAATTTGGGTTAAATATCACTGTAGTTACAGTATGCCATTTGAGAACAATACATTACAGTATGCAATTAAGAAATGCTTAAGAGTAAAAATTTTTTATTCTTATTGATTTTTCGTTTTTAAAGAAATTTTATTCTTATTATTATTTTTTATCACTTTATTATTAAAAGTTCTCAACAATTTTGAATTGTATATATAGGATACTATATCGATATTTTGTTAATACATTTCGATGTCACATGAAAAGATAATTATAAGAAAGTTTTTTATCACAGATTGAAAAATCATTAATATCTTTTAATATCAAAATGAAAAAGAATGATAAATTTCAGCAATCAATTGAAAAAAATTAAAAAACAAAAAATAGAAAAAGTAAAGCAAACGAAAGAAAATCTTTAAATTATACTACCGTTCATTGGGTGCATTGGTTAGTCTTGCAATTTTGATGTTGGAAAGGAAATATGCACTGGTTAAAATTTCCAAACGATAAGCATCCGTGGTAGAAGCCACTAGAACGCCGTTATTCGGCGAACAAGCCCGAATACGTGCTTCAAGTAACGATACTGCACTGAAAATTTGAATGAATTTTAATTTGATAAAAAGTTTAACTATAAGTATTCACTTAGTAAATAAATTATTTCACATAATGATATTGCACGAATTTTTGTTCCACCCAAATTACAGCTAAATTGTTATATCCTTAAATTTGTAACATTTAATGTTTTAGTTCTTAATTTAATGAAATTATCGATCTTTTTTTGCAAAATTTGAAATTTAAATGTATGAATTTAAAAGTTTAAAGATCGAAAAATTTTCTTCCTTAAAATAAATAATACTAGCCTCTTTTTTGATCAAAATTTAAATAATCACAAAATTATAATACGAATTGCATTAGACATGTATGACAATAATACAAAAATCACAATTGCAATAATGCAATTTTTTGATTTAGTTTGATCGTAATCAGCTATTAACGACCTTCTGGTATGCCAAAATGTCATTGATAAATTCATTTATCACCAACACTCTCATTACAAATTTATAATAATAATTTTTTCTTTTTTTGAAATAAAATACTACAAAAAAAAATTTTATTCTGGATATTTTAAATAAGATTTATTTTGTAATACCGTCTGATACTTCGTAAAAATAAAAAGAATAAATTAAATTAAGACTCATCTCCAAATTATAAACTATAATGTTTTTAATAATTTGGATCACTTCATTTTTTTTTTTAAAAACTCATCTTATTTTATACAAAAAGAGAAATGAAGCAATAACTAGAATTAGTTAAGTATAGGAAATGCTGATAAAATTTTTTATCATCGAGAACAACAATGTTATGATTAATTAAGATACTGATGATGCATTAATTTATTGATAGAGGAACTTCATTCTATTAAATATATTTTAATATATCAAAAAAAAAAAAAAAAAAAATGATATTAAAATAACAAAAAATTGGAGAAAACTTTATTAACTTTAAAGAAAAAGAGCAAAAATAAATGAGAAATGCTGAATAAAATACTGAAACAAAAAAATTAATAAATATTGAAATACAATAGTGATACTAATAAGAAAAATATTATGCACAAATTGCCCAAAAATGGTGATTGTATGTATAAGAATTTGTTTTTTCTTTCCAAAGAAAAATAATTTATCTTGAAAAAGAAAAAATGAGAAAAAAAAAAAGAAAAAATGCTAAAAGAAATAGATTATATGTTGAAAATATGATTAATCGATTTAATAAAAAATGAAACCTATTTTAAATCAAAATCATTTAATTTAATTAAATAATTCAAGTCAATAAAATTTCAGAATCACTTCAAATTTAATACACATTTATATGTAATGAATAAAAACGTAAAGTGTTATAACTAATAAATGATAGTAAAATGTCATATATTTGCACTAATAAATGATAAATATTGATATGATTAAAAAATTTGCTAACACTGATAGTAGCATAGTGATTATATTTGCAATGCATTATTTGACAATAATAATCTTTGCTCTACTTCCCTATTGTTGATAGTATTTGATAATTTGTTTATATTATTAACAATTTGAATTAATTTAAATTGTTCTAAAAATTTATCATCGTATTGTTTGTCATTAATATACTATTATTATTATTACTACTACTACTATGGTTATCATTAATTATCACCATTCATTTATTGCTACAATCATTAATACTATCTTTATCATATGTATTATCAGCACTATCATAATTATCACAAACGTATAACTACCATTATCAATTATATCATTTCACACTAATTTTTAGTCAAAAAATTTCTTTCAAAACGACATGCATAATATACGTGGTGTACATAAATGAATAATCACATACACACACACACACACATACATACATGCGACACATATCATATTCCTCAGCAATTTATATAACATACTAAATAGATGTTTGACAGAAATGTGAACAGACGGGTATGCAATGCAAGAATCGTATGAAGAAACAGGTAAAATGCACAGGTACTTTTTTTAACCATTAATATCACAATTAAGTGTTTTTTTTTTTTTAATTACAAATATTTCTTGCACACTTCTTAAACCTAACAATTCATCGTTTTTTCTCTTTATTCATTGCTTCCTCTTTTTTTTTTTTTTTTTTTTTTTCTATCATTTTGTTGAATCGTTGTTCTAATTTTTGTTATTTTTATCTTCTTTCTTTCTTTTTTTCACTTTTTCTCTCTCTCATCTTTCTTTTCTTTTCTCTTGTTTTTTTCTTTTGTCTTACCATTCCATTACTTTTGCTAAATTTAATTAAATTGTCAATTAATTTATCTATCTATATGCATGTCTACTAATAGCGACGATTATTTATTCTATTGTTTAAGAACAAAGAAAGTGATTTTTTGATAGTAATAAAAAGAGAGAAAGACAGAGAGAAAGAGAAAGAGTGGATAATAATTAAAAAAAAACACAGTATACTCTCGGTTGAGTAATATATAAACCAACCAAAATTAAAATTTACAATTACAGATGATTACAAGGGAAGCAAAGAAAAGAGAAGGAAAGGGTAAAAGATCGAAGAAAAAAAAAAAGGTGTAATGAGAATTTTTGATGAAAAATACAGTACCCAACAAAATTGCATTCAATTTCCTTTTTTTTTGTTAACTTCTAATGAATGCATTTATAATAATACAAAAATAAAAAGTAAACAATTAATGAAGAAAAAAGGCAGAGAAATGAAAAAAAAAAAAAAAAAAAATGAAAGAAAATGTTGATATTATTTAATATTAGGAAATTTTAATTGTTCATAAATTATAGGAATAGTTTATTTAACCATTATATGCACATATATTTATAATTAGCTTAGTATTGTAAGAAAATGATGAAAATGATTTCTTTACTTGTTGTTGTTACTAATTAAATTTGAGGAATTTATAAAAATTTTCGGAATTATAATTGTTATAATGAAGAAAGTAAAAAATTGTAGAAAATTCATACAAAAAGAAGACGAAAATTTTGTATTATTTGCTCAAAAACAATTGATGTATAATGTATGAGATGACACAGAGAAATGAAAAAAGATAAATTCTCAATTGAATTTATATATGATAATTTTATTTGTGAGATTTGTCCTGAGAGAGAATTATAATAATAATAATAATAGCATTATGAAAAGTAATAATAATGAATTAATTAACTGGCCAAAATCAATTGACTAATAAAACTATTATTTAACAACTTTTAACAATTCTATAATAATTTCTATGGGAAATGATTTATTTGAATTTCAAAGTTTTAAATTATGAATAATTCTTTTAATCAATATCTGTTTTTTATTCCATCTAATGAGAAAATAAGACGAGAAATCAATAATTGTTAATGTTACACATTATTGTTATTAGTTATTGTTATTGCTTTTGTGTTATTGTTGTTGCACTTACTATTACAATACTATCGCTGTCATTGTCACAGTTAAAACTATAACACTGCATTAAAAACAAATTATCATGCATTAACCAATATTAATTGTTGCGCAAAATGTAAATAAATTAACTAAATTTAATTCAACTCATTAGAAATGCCATGCACACACACTAAGAAAGCGCAAATAGTATGCTAGTAGAAGTAAATTGAAGTGAGAAGTGGAACGGACAAATGGTTATGGAGTATGGTAAGATTTATTTGATCGGTGGTTCATCATCGTTAGGTTGAAGTGTATGTCTGTGTCTGTCCCATCTATTTATTAGTCTGTCCGGTCATCGTTCGTTACGCGAAATGAATTTTACTATCTTACTTTTTTCCTCTCAAGGTGAACAAAAATTCAAAGGTCAATCAATCAGTACTTTCATTGAATTGCGCGAAAATTTGGTCATTTATTTTCTTTTTTTTTTTTTTCCTCTTTCTTAAAATGGACAGATAATCGGACGATGAAGTTCACCTGTCAAGACATAGACATATATACATTCTTCGCATTTTCATTCTTTCAAATCATTTATGTCTATCTTGATGATAATATTCATCCATCCATCTATCTTTGCTTTTACTCTTCCATCTCTCATACCTGATCCCTCAACAAAATTACTAATTGTTCTGAAGGTCATTGCTACCACATATGACCGGACAGTGCTCTCGAGAATTTTGATGAATGGAATGATTACCAAAGGATGGTGAATGAATGAATGAATGAATGTCAAAGCGGTCATTCTTCATTTTGCATCATTCCTTCGAATTTATTTACTAATATAATAAAAATCAAATATAATATATAATAATGGTAATAATAATTGATAATAATAATAATAATAATAATCAATGATTATTTTATAAAATAAATGATAAAACATTATTGATTTAATGATTTAAATAATGTAGAAAGTATTACTCTAATAAAAATTCAAATAATAATTATTTTCAATAATTAAACCATAAATTAAGTGCTATTTTTATCTAATTATATTACAGTGCTAATAATTAATCATTTTTTTACAACGAAATTTTGGAAAAAAAAAAAAAAGTGGAAGAACAAAAAAAGAGAGAAGAACGAAATGAAATGTAAGCAAAACGGTATGCACAGACAATATTTGTTTGGATGACTGTGAAAAAGCAAACATTTTATATGTAATATGTATGTGTGTATGTGTATGTATGTGTCCGTGTCTGTGTCTGTGTCTGCCTATGTATGTATGTGTGTGTGTGTGTGTGAGAAATATTTAAAGAAATTGCTTAAAAAAAAGTGCTCATTGTAATATTGTATTAAGTATATATGTATAGGTATATTTTAAAATTAAAAAAAAAAGAGAGAGAGAGAGAGAGACAGGTGAGAAAAGTAAGGGAAGAGATCCAACTAACGAAATAAAGGCACAGCGATGACGTTAGTTGACAACGATGAAATGTGATGTGACGTGATGTGATGTGATGAATACAAAAGAGTAAAAGGTGAAATTTCGAGAGTTTTGAACAAAATTCATATTCCTTTATGAAATAACCATGTATGTTTTATGAATAATGTTTATATTATTAAATTAAATATGAATAAATATAAATAAGTAAATATATATATATATATATATATATATAATCAAATAAATGTAAATAAATGAATAAATAAACAATTATATACGATCAAATAAATATAAATGAATAATAAATATATATTATAATGGGAAATTTTTCGATAATTATGTAAATTCATAAAATGAAATAAATAGATAAAGGATTAATTAATTAATTAGTTAAATACAAATATATAGATATATGATAGAATATAAATGATGGTATATATATATATATATAATATAGAGAGAAAACAGCCAGTTTGTCGCCCATCCTATCCTTTTTCACATTCCTTTTACTCGTTCATCGTCCTCGTTCTTCAATAGATAATTCAAAATCGATAAAACTTTTGATTTGAAAGGGAAAAATGGAAACGAATAAGATCGTTAAAATTTTATACATAATAAGAAATAATAATGTATACAATAGATATATGTATATGTATTAATATGTATTAATTTTATATTTTTGTTTTATAATTTTATATTATAATTTTTCATATGTATTAATTTTAATAAAAAGAGTAACTGAATTACATTGTTATAAAAAAAAAAGAAAAAAAAAATTGATAATTATTGTGAAAATAATTAATTATAGGACTCTAATTTTTCCACTATATAATATTATCTAATAAAATTTAATCAAAAAATAATCATTAAAATTAAAAAGAAAAGTGAAATAGTAATAATACCAAACAATTTGCAAATCAATCACTGATTTTTTAGATTATATCTACTAATGCGTTTTTTTTTTTTTTTTTAAATTGTCTTAAACGTTTATTAAATGTTTTAAATTATGGTTGTTCAAAGTTTTATTAACGTCCTTTAAAAAATATTTTTAAATTATTGACTGTTTTAAATTATGAGCAATGTTCCATCATACTTAGTGGTTACAAATTTTTTTTTTTTTTTTTTGTAAATAAAACAAAAATCAACAACGAATTATTTACTTATTTTTTTCTCCTTTAATTGCTAATTTATTAGCTTGAAATAATTACTTATTAGTTTATTATTCAAATTTCAATGATACATTCATTTCAATTCTTATCATATAATTATATCTTTTTCATTTATAAAAGTTCTCATTCATTCATTTAGGCGAAACGATAAAGTTTGGATCAAATTGGGAAAAAAAAAAATTTATGAAAAATATGATGAGAGGAGCATAGAAGTAAGGTGTATTTTAAGGTACAGAAACTTTTGAAGGTCATTTGTTTACTAAAGATTGGATTGGATTAATTTGTGGTAATTTGAATGAAAATCAATAAAAATATAAATCAAAATGAGAAATCATTGCATTTATTATCAATAAAGTTGAAATATTATATTTGTTATTGTTAAACACTTACAAAAAGTTTAAAACTATTAAAAAAAACATAAAATCATTCTAAGTAAAACTCTACCAAATTTATTTCATTCCATTCAATCTGATCAATCTTTTCACCAAAACGTTTACTTTTCTATATTCCAACGTACTACCTCGTATATACCATTTAATCTTTTGGTAAATATTGTCACTTACAATCACCTATATTGTATATACATACCATTTTAATAATGTTTACATTACATTAATAACAATACAAATATATAATATATATATTCTATAATTGCATACCTTTCATTCCAATCATATATTTATTATTATTATTAAACATTTAAAAACAAATAACTTGAAAACAAAATTTCTAGATCAATAAAAAATTAACTTTTATAATCAAATTTTGAGATGATAAAAAAAGATTTGATCATATTTTATGATATTTTCAAAAAAGAAAAAAAAAACAACAACAACAACAAGCAAACAAACAATTCAAGTTTTAATTTATCCTTTTTTTCTATTAAAATAAAAAAATTTTTTTTTCTATTTTTTTTAAAATCAAATAAACAACTAACCCTTCAATATCAAATGCTTTCAATTCAATAATTGCTTCAGCAGCTTTTTCATTAAAATAGATAACTCTTGTTTGATACTGCTCGGTAATATTAGTCAAAAAACCAAGTGATTCATCGTTATTGCATAATTCAGTTATCAAAAAGTGTACCGTATGCGGGAAATTTGTATTAATCTAAAAATAAAAGTTAAAATTTGTAAAATCTTTTTCCTAACTTTTTTCAACTACTATATCCATGTCAAGGGAAAATCTTTCTGTTTTAAGATTTTTTATTTCAAGAAAAAATGATAAAATTATATGAAAATTTTAAAGCTGAAAATGAGCTATTTATTAGCTTAGATAGTTAAAATTATTTCATTAAAAAATAATGCCATTGTTGTTTCTCAAACAAAACAAAACATAAATACAAGAAAAAAGTGGAAATTATTAAAAATATGATTAAGTTTTTTAAGCGAAAAAAAAAAAAATGATTTGATAAAAAGCCAGCATTTTAATATTTTACATTTAAAAAATATTAAACATATGAAAATTTTTTTAACTATTTTAATAAATAATCTTGTTATTTATATTTTAACTGTTATGATAATAAATGAAATAAGTTAAAAAAATTAAAGTTTAAACTTAAAAGCAACAAAACAAAAAAAAAATTACCAAAATGATTAAATTGTTTTAAAAAACTGAAAATTATAAAAACAAACATTAATATTTTCAATTTCGCCATCAAGTAATCGCTCAATTGACCAGTTGCGATCACCATAATGTGCATATTCTCGAGATGTATTCTCGGGATGAAATAATTGAATATGCCAACCGCAACGGCTAAGTTTTGTAAGCACTGGACCATAAGCTGCTGATGCACCTGTTGAAAAATATTTTAATAAAATTTTTATGCAATAGATTGTCCTAATTTCAGTAATATATTAAATTTTGCACTTACATTTATATTTACAAATGATTGAAATTCATTTTAAAACATTCCAAATTTCAACTAGCCTCTTTTTTTAACCTTTTTTCGAAATTAAACAGAAAGAAATTAAATTTTCATTGTTTTTTTTTTTTTTTTTGAAATTAAATTTGATTCATTTATCTATTCTTTTTCTTTTTGGATTTTTGATTGTTTGTTTGTTTGTTGATTTTATAAAACAAAAATGAAACATTATTTCTAGCATTTATCAATTAAAATCAAAACTATTAAAAAACATTCACTTGTTAAATTTTTTTTTTTTTTTTACTTTCAAAAAGAAAAAAGAAAGAAGAAATGAAAATTTTTAATTCTTTTTAAATTTTCTCTCTATTTTTTTTATATTTTTCTTCTTTTTTTAAAAAATTTTATCTACATTTTTTTTATTTTTTATATTTTTTTTTCTTTATTTTATAATGAGTGATAAACTATTGAAATTATTGAAAATTTTTAAAATATCATTTTATTTTTTCCTTAAAAAAAAAACAAAATTTACCAGAGATAAGCGCAATTATACCAGGATCGTAATCACTGTGAAAACGATGTAATTTTTTACAAATAGCCCAGGACGATTCATTTGATTCGATGTGATTTATGTCCACATTCTAATAATTAATATTATTTTTTCATTTTTTCTTTTTTTAATAATCAAATATTTTATTCAAATCATTACAAAATTTATATATATTTATGATAAAAACTTTCCAAAAAAAAAATGTTTTTTCAAAATTTTATATTATTCATATAGAATTTACTATTACTTATAATTTTCTATATTTTACATTTATGCTAAATTATATGTAAAATCGCTTATGTTTATAGATTTTATATTTAAACTGTAAAAAATTGTATTTAATTTTATTTTAACTTTTTCTTCATTCTATTAATTTTTTCATTGCTTTTATTTCGTTGTTCTTTCTTTTTTCCATTATTTTTCCATTAAATATGCCTATTTAAAAAGATATTTTTCATATAAATTTATTGTTTTTTAAAAAAATTTTCGATATTTTACATTTATGTAAAAAATAAAATTATTTATGTTACTTATTCTAAAGTATGATAAAAAATATTTGAAAAGATAAGGAAAATAAATAGATCAAACTAATATATTATTAAATTTACTAACGATTTTTCTTTTTTTTAAATTAATATTTGCATAATGACAAAATTATTACATTGATCAAATTAAGATAAACAAAATTTATCAATTTTCCCAGTGGTAAAAATTGAAATATTTATTTTAAACTTATTTTTTAAATTAATTATAACTAAAGGTTATTTTTTTTATTGTCAAAAGAATTATAATGTTTTAGACTAAAACAAAATTTAATGAAACAATTATCAATTGATGTAACAATTAAATCATATAAAATTCATCTCAATGTCATATATCATTTCTTAACTGATAACAAAAATATCACAGATAATTCTACCTATGATAATAATGTTAGTATTTCATTTTTTTTGTTACTTATTGGAAAGAAATTAGATTAAATTTGTCTAAATATATAAAATTACTATTATAATTTAATTAATTAAAGAGTAAAAAAAAATAGCTTTCCATTCAAGAAAGAAATGAATTATATTTATATAATTGGATTTTAAAAAAAAAAATTAATTCAGAAAATTAATTTTTTAAAAACCGGAAATATAAACCGTTGATTTTGCCAGTTCACGAGTTATAACAGGTGGCGTAAAACGAGCATCACAATAAACCACAAAAGCACATTCACGTGGATAATATTCATCCAAATTTTCTACAACAGTAGAACGAATCTAAAACAAATATATTATAAAGTGGAAATTTAGAAAAAATTAAATTAAATTAAAAATTTGACAATTTGTTTAAAAATTGCAAGACTAATATGAGATTATTATTATTATTATTAAAAAAAGGAAGCTTGAAGATATGAATTATTTTAGATATTAGCTAGAAAATATTATTTCATATTCTAAATGATAGTAAAAAAAAAAATTTTTTTCCTTTTCTTTTGAAAATATTTAATACTTGTAAAAATTTATGATTCATAATTGTTTAGAAATATTATCGTGGAAAAGGAATGTTCGAATTTATTAATTAAATAGCATAAGCTGATGATATCATTATTTAATATGAAATAATCAAGTACTGATAACAAATAGTTTAAACATAAATGAATTTAAATTGGTTGTCATATATATATATATATAAACTTAAATTAGTATTGTGTAATTGAATATAGATGAACTTAAATTGGTTAACACATAACTGAATGTTATCAACTTAAGTTGGCTTATAAATAACTAAATATATGTAAATTTAAATTTGCTTATAAATAATCCAATAAATGTGAATTGAAGTTGAGAATTAAAAACCGATATTTCATCAGTTAGATTAAAAAACTATTTCAAAAAAAAAAATGAAATTCTCAATTGTATGTTGCAACAAAGTAATGTATAATAATAGCATAAGTGAATTAATTATATAAATTAGTTCGAGGAGTAAAGTAAAACTTTTGTTAAATTATTAAATTTACTCTATTTTACTGCAAGGAAATATTTTTTTAAATATAAAAATGCTTTAATGTGTGAATAATAAATTTATAATAAAAAAAAATTCGCAAAATTAGAATGGAAAATTGAGAAAAATTTATGTTTATGTTTTTTTTTTTTTTTTTTTTTAAAAAAATTTATGTATTTTTTTTTTTTTAAAATTTATGTATAAACAAATATTGTGTGTATTGAATGATAGAATTTAAAATTTTTGTCAAATTTTATAAATGACTAACTTTACTAATAAATAAGCTAATTTTATCAAGTGGTACTTGAACTGATATCCAATCCCATATGACAGCAATAACTTTTTCTTGTAATTCATATGTTGCTTTGTCCACTGCTTGTAGATCCTAAAATTTGCTAACATTCGTCGAATAATTTTGCTTATTTCTTTTTGATTTCAATTTATTTGAGAAAAAATCTAAATTTCAAAAATTTAATAAATATAGAATTAATTTTTAGTAAATACATAATTCAATTCTTTCATTTGTTCATTAAAAAAATTGTAATAACAAACACAAAAAAGGAAAAAAAAAATTTCTTCAAAATATTTAAATGAAATTTTAATATGACTGAGAAAAAAAATGGTAATTATATTTACAATTTCAAATTATTTCTTTTTTTTTTTTTTTTGCTAATTTCAACAATAAACTTACTTTAGCATTATTTTTTTCCATTATTAAAATCTCAATCAATATAGATACGTTCGCAATGAACTGACCGATTCTTGCAAATGTGAGAAATTTTTGTGAATGATTGGCTTTTATAGTAGAGGAAATTTGCATATAATTCCTTGGTAATATGCAAATTTTCATCAAAAAATTATTGATTTCACTTGTTTAGTGAGAAAGAAAACAATAGAAATGTCTGCTGGTAAGTTTCATTCATTAATTAAGAAAATAATAAATAAAATTAATACTAAAAACAATATTTACCTCTTGCCTCCCTTTTGTTCTTTGTTCATTTATTTATTTTTTTCGCTAAATGTGAAATTAAAGAAAAAAAAAAGACTCAATCACACTAAGAATAAAAAAAGAAAAACTAAAATTGATATGGTGATGTGAATATTCATTTCTCAAATTACCTCAAATTATATTGCCGAAAAGATTGGTGTCAAGAAGTTTAAAATATTAATAGTGTTGGAGATATAAATGTAAGTTTATTATTTCATGAATAATTTTTGAAACAAAGCATAGTTTATACAAAATATTAATATGAAAGGCATTAACACTTACAAAAAAAAAAAAACAAACAAACAAAAATGTAACAATAAGAAACATTCATTATCTTTTCTTCCGTTTTTTTTGGAAAGTTTGAAGAATAGAAATAATTGAAATTGCTAATTTCAATTATTAGATGCTGTCAAAGTTTTCTACGATACTTTCAATAGTTATTTATGACATAACTTGTTAATAAAAGTGATAAGATTTCAAAAAAAAGGAAGAAATATTCATCAAAATTTCACTTATATCTTACATATGATGATAAAACATATGACGTAAAATATGATCCATCACTTTGAGAATTCATTAAATTTCTGCAAAAAAAAAAAAAAACTTCGCAGCATTTTAAATATTATATATCATAAAAAAAAAAAAAACAGAAATTAAACAAAACAGTACTAATAAACAACGAATAAATAAATGAAGATCAGAGATCAGAGATTTAAAAACAATTCCAGAAATAGTAAAAAGGAAATCTTTTAATTTCAAAATATTCAAGTATCACAGGAAATTTCCAAAACAAAATCACTTTTTCTGCATGAATCATGCTTCGATATCTGAAATGAATTGTGCAATTATTCATAATAAATATAAAAAAATTAAACCTAAAATTAGATTACAGTAAACAAATGGCAAAAAAAAAAATCAAATATATTCATCATTGAAATACAATATTTCCTAAGTTTGAGATTTTATTATTTTAGAAAACTTCGGAGAAAATATACAATTGAGGGTAATGGTTGTAAAGTTACGAAGGATGAGTCACAATCATGGCATCTAGTAAAAGTCAAATAAAATAAACACGTATATTTGAGATAAAAATTAAATGATCGGAACCTTTTTGTAGAGCGCATGGAAAATGATAATATTTGCCGCGATTTTCAATTGCTGCACCTTCTTTAGAGCATACAGCACAGTGCTATAGAAATTTTATTATTTTATTACCATCATAAAAAGGAAAGGAACAAAGACATAAACAGAAATAAAGTAAAAGGTAGTATAGTTTATTTTCTCCCTTTAATTTAATTCATTACAAATCTAAAAATTTACTGGAGCTAATTTAAACTGAACTTTAAAAAAAAAAAAAAAAACGAAAATTAAAATTTATGTTGGTACATAATTATAACTATCTGATTATACTTAATTAACGTCATTTCTTTTGACCAATATTTACTAGAGAACTGTTCTTCAAAAAGTGAATAAATTTCAAAACCTGTGCCCAAAAAGCACCAATTTTTGTTTCCAGTCCGTCAAGTTGATTACCGACCAGATATATACCAGGTGCAGTTAGAGCACATGGACCATGAAGCCAAATATCGCAATATAATTCAGTCTAAAGTGATTTTAACAAAAAAATGATTTACGATTAAAATGAATATTTCCTCTTCATTTATAGAATGTCATGCTTTTTCCATTCAGTACTTATATTAGGGTATCCCTTAAGTATGATGTACTGATTTAATATACGTCATTTTTCATCAAATGATAAACAAGAAAAATATTTGTCACAATAAAACCCGCAACTACTTCATTATAAGTATAGAACCAAAGCTATAGGGAAGGGAGAATTTTATAGAAGAAAAAAAAAAAAAAAGAAAACCGACAAAATTTCATATATATTTTTTAGAAACTTGAATTTTTTAGCAATAACCAACTTGCTCATTTATTTTTTGTGGTTTCTTAGCCAAATGTGTAGGCCAATAATTTCCATTTAATCGTATAAAGTATGGACCGAATAGATCACCCAAGACAGAGCGTAAAGTACGTTGTTGACAAAGAGCACATTTCCATCGAGTTACTATTTTTAGTTCGTTACACTCAACCTAATAAAGTTAAAAATAGACCGAAAAAACAAAATGAAAAGTGAAATCTAAAATGAAACTCAAAAAATATAGTCTAACCAGCAAATAAACGAAAAATAAATAGCTGAATGGGTATTACAAAAAGTCTTCTAGATCATCTGGCATGGCTAACAAGTAAATATCAAGTAATCTTCTTACTTGATTTAAACGATTTAACAACGCTTCTTGACTTCTCTTCAATAAAACATCATGTTTTTCGCCATTCTTCACCACCATTTGTTCTTCTATAAAACAATAAACATTTAGAAAATTATTTTGAAATTCTCGAATTAACTATTTCTAAAAACATCCTGAAATAACCACCGATAAAATAAATGTAATAATTATTGTCAACAAAAAAAAAAAAAAGAAAAATCTGTATTATATTAAGCAGTTCTGTTAAATATAATTAGTAAATGTTTCTTACTAACAATTAATATCTAATGCAAAGAAAGACTAAGATTAACTTCAGAGAAGCTTAAGTAAAAGTTGCTAAAAGCTTAGCACCAATAAATCGAAAGCAAATAATCGAGAATAAATGATTCCGGTACAATTATATTGATAGCATAATCATAACTTGTTAACACATATAATATCATATAGAACATTCGAATCATTTTAGCTAATAATTATTGATAGTTCCAAATGAACAAGTCGATTAAACAGGAATGATTTAACAAGATATTCAAAAAATGAGGAAATGATACGAATGCTTACTTTTAGTCAGTCTTAGACATGGCATACCATCATCATTTGATCGTTGTGTTTTCATTTTAAATTTTGCATTTAATCGATTTTTGACGAGTTCATCTTCGCTAGCTACTTCTTTTACAGTATGATTTTTCTTCCGTTTCATTTTCTTTCTCTTCTTAGCTTTACCATCATTTGCTACATTAGCTGGCACCTTCCGCATCTGTAATAAAAAAAAAAAAAAGAAAATTATGAAAACTTTAAAAAACTTTCATTTAAAAAATTCGTAATGCTGTTATATTATTTTGAAAATATAGGTTAAAAAAGATATCTTACAGCGGCATAAGAAGATAATTTTATAAGTATCATGTGAAAGTTTCAAGCGTAAGTTCAACAAGTAACTGTTAGATTTCGAGTTATATAACAGTTAAGTTATTTTGCAATGCTCATAGGATTCTATAATAACTCTCTATAAGAAAATCTGAAATTCATTTTGAATGAAGTGAATGTTCTAAAACTGTAATCAGAACTGACTAGTATTCTTACGAGATTAATATTCTAGATGAATCAATAACAGATCAGCCTAAAAATTTTTAACATTTACAAATGAAATATTCAAATAAAACGTGACACAGTGCTAAATACAGCTAGATACATTATATCAAATGAAACACAAATATTGATAAATTTTATTGCAAAATTAGCACAATAAATTGCATACATGAGATGTAATTTTTAGATGTAAACACGAATTATGGGATAAAAAGTGCTAATTTACATTTTGTAGCAAACACAAAGTATTTAAACGAACATTTAATCCGCAAAATCAGTAAATAACAGACTTCACAAACAATACCATCAAATATAAAACTTGTGTAAAGTTTTGACTTGTTTAGCACTTATTATTTGTTGATTAAAAAAATATGCCAGCAAATGTTAATGCAAGAAGTTGGAAGCAAAGATTAAGATGATTGATATTAATTATACTGTTAATTAAATGACATTAAGATAACAATACATAATATATAGGAATACCGATGTAACATAACAACATCAGTTCCTCTAGTTTAAAAATTATATTTTATTTACAGCATACTTAATATCAATTAAAATCATTAAAAATCAAGAAAAGATTATGCAGTTGTTTTTATTTGCAATCCAATTCATCAATGCTTTCAATGCTGAAATCGGATAAACTTTCATCACCTGCCGTCATTTTTCGTACAATCTGAAAAAAAAAAAAACAAAAAACAAACTTAAAGTATGAAGAATGAAGTTAGAATGAATAACTCTTTTTTTTTTTTTTTTTTTTGGAGATTTCGAAATGCAAAAAAAAAAAAAAAAAGACAAATAATTGCTTCCGATAATTTCATATTCAAAAAGATACTACAGTTTATTCAAATATTTCACAATGAGACATAACAGCAGTGCAAACAGATAGCGCTAAAGGAATCGTTTATTTAGATATATTGCAAATAAATAATGTGTTCCGTGCTATCAAATGAAAAATTCCTCTAATATGCCGCTATATTAGCTATATATTGAAAACATCAAATTTTCAATTACGCGAGTGGTCGAAATCAAAAATAATTGGAATTTTAGTAAATTAGTTACTTTAAAGGATCAAAATACATTTCGAAATGAACATGAGATAAAACAGAACTTACAAAAAATAAGCTAAATAAGTAAATTTTCTAAACACAAACTTCTCGCAGTCTAATGCAAGTATCGGCTATATTAGCTATATCTTCGGAATTCAATTTTTCAATTATATGAATGATAATTTCATCCAGAAGTGACAGCAATCCTTTGGATTCATCCTGTACGATATCGTTTCCATTTTCGTTTTGAAGTGTTGACATCTATAAAGGAGTAAAATTGAAATGGTGAACAAATAACCCACAATTTTCTTTCATTTTCATC